ACTCATTTCAGTAGGATCGGCTTCTTTTTTCTCCCTCTTCATGGAAATGCAGGAATGATTAATAATCAACACATTTCTGTAGCTGCTTTTGTTCTATATTCTTTGAACCTCTTAGGCTGTCATGTATTAATTTTAAATCTCGGAGGGAACAAGTATAAAATAGATGATGGAGTAATCCAAGGGTTTCTGAAAAGGTGAAACTTGTCTGGAATTGAATATGTGCATTTTGTGTTATTCTCTTAAGTCTCCTGTGTGAAAATACTGCAGTTGAGCACAAGAGAGGTCTTCATTTTGTCTTTAAATAAACTCCTCATCTTGTGGAGCATTACCATCTTTGTGAGTGTATTAAAGCTGTGCAATTTCATAAATACAAAGTCAACAACTTCTATTTACAGTGTGTCCATCATTGCCAGCTATGTTACTTCTTCATTGCTGCTATTCTTTCCTATTTAAAATAAAAAGGGAAGATACTATCAGCGTGTTTGTTCTCTCCTGTGAGCAGGCTTTGGCCTAGGGAAAATATCAGGTATCTAAGTATAGAAAAGTCTGAAGAGAAAATGCTAAATTTCAGCAGGGAATTGCTGGTTTTCTTTTAATTTTCGTTTTGCTGTGCAAAAATGAGTTTGGTTTTTCCAAGTAATGAAGAAACAGCTGTGTTGGTGTTAAATATTCAGTGGATTTGGAAGTGACTTATTTAAAGATCTTCGTCTTTATAAGATACCCTTCATTTGAAAGTGCCCTAAAGTATGATTTTGGTGAGGGGGAGTCATTTCTCTTGGTTCTTACCTTTCTCCAGTTGGCATTTTGGAGAGTCTGGGTTTAAAACCTGAAATAACGACACACCTTTTTGTTGCCAGCAAAGTATTTGATTCCTGCTCTCTCCAACTGCAGAAAAGTTGGTGAAGACCTTCTCCTAAGTGCTTAAAATAGGCGGTGGAGATTTGGAAAAAATGATGAGTGGTGGATTGCACAACCAGCCTGGCTGGAGCTGAAACTGCTTCCAGATCTTTCTGGAATGGGTGTGCTGGAGAAGGGCAGGGGGAGGGAAATGGGCTGGGGCCCCCAAAACTGAGCTGAGCTCTGGCAGCAGCCAGGATGGTGCCTCAAGGAGCTACAAAAAAGAGAGGGGAGAGACTGCAGGGGAAAGGAGGGACAGGGCACAGGAATGGCTTCCCACTGCCAGAGGGCAGGGGTGGATGGGATTTTGGGAAGGAATTGTTCCTGGCAGGGTGGGCAGCCCTGGCACAGGTGCCCAGAGCAGCTGTGGCTGGCCCTGGATCCCTGGCAGTGCCCAAGGCCAGGCTGGACACTGGGGCTGGAGCACCTGGGACAGTGGGAGGTGTGCCTGCCATGGCAGGGGGGGCACTGGGTGGGCTCTGAAATCCCTTCCAGTCAAAGACATTCCATGATTCCATGAACCTTGGCCATTCTCTGAAAGGTGTTTGATGTTGTCTGGGGGAGCTTTGGGTGTCAGCAGTGCGTGTTCAGGAGATCTCTGAGCTGTCCTTATAGACCAAGGGTAGAACTGACACAGTGGCAACACTTCATGTCCAAAACAGTGGGAGAAGCCTCTGAAGGGGAGACTGGAGTTGCATGGGAATGTTTGATTTAGGTATTTCTAGGCAGTTTTGTGTGAAAAAGGTGATGATGTATTGAGTGAGCTCGGAAATACTCAACTCCCTTCTCCTATCATTTCAGTCTCTCTAACCTTTTTGCATATTTGCAGTTTTGGAGAAATCTTGCATTATATTTTCAAATAATCTTATTAATGTGCTACCTAAATGTGACTTTATATCGCGTGTGATGGAATCCATGGTAAGAAGAAGCTGTCTTTGTCAGGTTTTTCATTGTGCTGTGAGAGCAAAAGTTGGGTGTTTGAGATGTGGCTGCTTGGGCTTGGACTGGAGGGAAGGGTTGGAAGTTTGGAATCTGCTGGCTTGGGAAGGAGCACAGTCTAGTCAAGAGGGGAATGTAAAAGAGAGAAGAGCAAGTGAAAAGCATGGGGTGGAAGGAACTGGCAGTTGGAATAACGTTGCTGGCAAGTTTCCCTCTTCCTTGAACCCCAAAATACTTTGGAACACGGGGGTTTCTACCCTTCCCAGGATCCTTTTGCCAACTCCTCTGTGCTGCTGGTGCACGCAGAGGGTATCCAATCCTCGCTGCGATATTTCGGGGAGCTGCAGGTGGCAGAGGCCCACGTGGGCTGTGAATGTCCCACCAGTGAGAGCATTCATCTCTCACGTGGTGCAGTTGCAGCCTCGCTTTATTCCATGCAGAGCAGTCGCTGATGGAAGAGCAGGATTTAGCTGGGAAGAACTGAAATGCACATTTAACACGTGCCCATGTAGCATTCGTCATCCTGATGGGCTGGTGTAGGATTATGCAATCCCTTTTTCCTGCAGGACCTTTGTTGGGTGCCCAGGCTTGATGTATCATCATTTCATCAACAGTGACGTAGTATTTTATTTTTATACTACCTCATTGTGCAATTCTGCCATTTTTCACTGTGTATCATGAAGATCTGAAAGGAAAATGCATTCCTTCCTGGTTAATATGCAACAAACAGTCTATAAAAAGATGTTGTTACTGTGCAGTAATTGCTTTATTTATCACCTTTCCCATGTGGCTAAAGCTGCTCGAATCACTGAGCGGAGCAGAGAGCTGATGCTTTGGGCTGCTTTGGCTTCACTTTTAATTTTTGGCTCTGGATGTTTGGCTCCTGTTGTAGAACTAGACCTAAATTCCACAAGGATGGTCTCTGACAAGCTTGGGTTTATCTTGCACAATCATCAGGACTGTGGGTTACAGATCAATGACCACGATGGTGCTCAGCCAGCACATCCTTGGCTTTGTAAACATCCAAGGCAGCGGGGTCTGGAGAGCTGAAAGTCTTCTGGCCATAAAGTTCATGTAGTTTGACCTGTGGTGAAATACATTTGGTGGCCATAGGAGGGTGAATAAGGCAAAGCTGAACTTCTCAACCACTTCAGAAATAGATTTCATAGAACAAATACTAGAAAGGAAATATATTGAGTGCTTTTCATTGTTTGTTTTAGATCTGTAGCTTTGTTACTAGGGAGAAAGCCTAAGGAAAACAAGTTATGCCTTGCCTTCTTGCACTGGACAAGGTCAAACTCTCTGAGTGCTTCAGGCAGGAGAAGGGGTTACTTGCAGTTAACAATTTGGAAGTTAAACCTAACTTGATAACTTTCTTGACTGAAAAAAGGATGGAAAGAAGTGCACTGTGACTAAATCTAGCATACAATTAATTCTTCTCTGCAGTTCTGTGTGTTAATTGCTGTCATTGTGTGAACTGATGGTTTAAGCAAAAATAGAAAATTTTATAACTGGTGTGTTGCTTACAATGCAGAGTCTTAGCTCCAAGTGCCAGCCCGCAGTGGCTTTTTGAATCTCTGCTGTGCTGTCAATCTCTGTGAATCATCCTGATGGAAATGGAAAAAGCGGTGAGGAGCGCAAACCTGGGAAGTGTGGTTTGCACTTTTCCTGGTGCTTCAGCAGCCCCAGGCTGGCAGTGGGGATGAAGTGGAGCTGAGTGTTTCTGCAGAGATGCAGCTCAGTCTCCCTCCTTGTGCTCTGAGCTCTGTCCTTCCCCAGTGTCACTCTGTCAGAGGGCCCCAGTGCCATGCCCAGCTCCTGCTGGATCTGTTTTTGGGGTCCTGGGCTGGTAAAGCAAGGTGGAATGGGATGTTCTCTAAGGTCCTTCCAACCCAAACCATTCTGGGATTCTTTGCCCATCTGTGAAAGGTGTTTGATGTTGCCTGGTGGGCTCTGGGGATGGATTGGAGGAAAAGAATGAGAAGAGTGACGGTGTCCATCTCAAGCAGCATCCAGAGGTGAAATTGCCAAGGTCTGTCTCAGCCCCTTCAGCAACTTCAGCCTCTGGCAGAGCTGCCATGACCTGTCTCCAGCATGGGGTGTCTACCTTTCTGGTTGATGTGCATCCAGAATATCCATGAACAAGCAGCTCTGCTTTTCAGGCACTGAGGATAAGCCCCAGGTGGGTTTCTCCTCACCTTGCTGCTTCCCAAATTGCGGTGCTTGTCCGTGGGGATACACCAGGAGCCTGGAGAGAGGCCGTGTGAACGAGGAGCCTGAAGCCTGACATCCACTCTGCTGCCCAAGAGGCTGGGAACAGCCTGCTGGCTCTTCTGGCACTTTGTTTGAACTTCTGAGCTGCTACTTTAGGCGCTGCCTTTGAATAGCTGAATTTATTTTTTTGCGTGTTCCGTTGCTTAGCGACGACAGGAGGAGAAACAGTCACTGCAGCTCATGTGGGTTTATTACTGATAAGTTAGCATCTCTGATACAGAAATGTATTTTTAATAAGACTAATGAGCTGTGATTCCTGACTTCAGCCAGGCAGAATGTTAAATAAACTGTGTTGCTGCACTGGGTATAGAACCTGACGCCCTGAGGGGTTTGATGTTACCTCAAAGCCATGCCTTGAATGTCTGTGCTTGGGCAGGCTGTTGTTTGAGGGTATTTTATGCTGCTGCCAATTCATTAGGTGAAGAGTTCCTCCTATTTTTTTTTTGCCCAGTTTTCCCCAGCAATAGAAGGGATTTGATTTAAGAACTAAACTGACAACAGCAGTGAAAAAATCCAAAGCAAAAAGCCCCCAGCCTGACCGAGTTTACCTGCTGAAGTACAAAAACTCCAAGCTGAAAGTGCAGAAACCAAGTCTGTTTGCCTGGGAAAGCACTGGAACGTGTTCCCATTTTAGTCTGGTACTGTTTTTGACTGGGACAAGTTATAAATTTTCTGGTCTTGCATCAGATGTTGGCAGTAGCAGTTACTTTTTATCATGCATGGGGCGACATTCCTGTTGCTCAGAAAAGCATTCGGCCGATCAAGAGCTTTTTGGAATTTGTTTATAAAGCTTTCCTTGCCGCTGGAATAGTTGGAGAGCCTTAGCAGCAAGAATGCAGATGATTTTGACTGGCTGAAGGCATGGCTGTGTTTGTTCCATGTTTTTCTAGATTGCCTGTTCAAGCTGTGTCCCATGAACCGCTACTCGGCGCAGAAGCAGTTCTGGAAGGCAGCGAAGCCAGGAGCCAACAGCACCACGGATGCTGTGCTGCTCAACAAACTGCACGTGAGTATCCCTCTGCAGGCCCTCCTCACCCCCATCCTGCTCTGAACAAGGATTTCCAGCCAGCCTGGCACAGTGATGGAGGAGACACCGAGTGCACGTAGAAATAAATCAGATTCTTTTGGAGATGTTCACTCCAAGTCTTCAGTCCTCTGATTTATGGCAAAATCACAGAATAGGCTGAGTTGGAAGGGACCCACAGGGATCATCCCAGCTCCTGGCCCTGCACAGACACCCCCCATATCCCACCCTGTCCCCAAGACTGTTGTCCAGTGCTCTGGCAGCACTGTGCCCATTCCCTGGGGAGCCTGGGCAGTGCCTAGCACCCTCTGGGGGAAGAACCTTTCCCTAAAATCCATCCTAAACCTGCCCTGGCACAGCTCCAGCCATTCCCTGGGTTTTGTCTGAGTCACAGAAATTGGACAGAACCCCCTCCTGTTCCTGCTCAAGGTCTGTGTCCCCCAGTGCTGTGTCCATGATACTGGAGTAGCCCTGGGAGCTCTTGTCTTTAACCTGTGGTAGAGATAATGGTGCTCCAGGGGAGCATTTTGAGTGCTAAAAGCATAAAAAAGGGATCCTTGAAACAATTGCACAGAGGATTCTCAGGCCCTGCATCCCAGCATGGGGAACCTGGAGCTGCTGGTGTGATCAATCTATTGGGACTGCTCAAACAAACATTGCTGTTGTTGGTATATGGAAAGGTTGATGGGTAATTATGAGTAATTATAAGGCCAGACAGCCTCTCCTTCCTTATTAGCTTGCAGTATTTAATATTTTCTGGGTAAAATGTTGACATTCAGCAGCTGAAAACTCAGTAAGGCAGTTGATTGCTGTTTTTAGAGCTCCTATATAAAAAAAAAGCCAACTTAACTTAAATACCATCTGTTGACTTTAGAGTTAAATAAACTCAGTGTTTATGTTAAAATTACATAGCTGGAGTACTTCATGTCAAAATTACAATTCTAAATATTTTTAGGTTCTTTGAGCCTATATTAAGCTCATTGTAGCCTGGAATACGAAATGGCCCCGTAGGAGAGTGTCACTTGCTGATTGCCATATGGCTGCCTCGCTCTGCACTTCACAAAGACCCACTGGTGGACTCCTTCTGCTGCAAGAAATGTATTTATAACCCAAAAGTATCAGCTTGGCAGGGACAAAGCTATTTTGGTAGCACAAAGCTCCCTCACCTGGGCCGTGTTTCTCATGTTGAGAAGGGAAGGAGGCAGTGGCAGCAGGTTTAGGGTGATGGGAGTTCTGGGCTTGGCTGCTTGGTGCATCAGGGAAAGGGAGAGTTCATGGGTTTTCACAGAAATTAGATCTAAATACTGCAACATGGAGAAGAAAAAGGCTTTGGCATTGCCCTGGATTACATTCTAATGTGGAGTTGCTCCCCTTCCCTAAGTACATCCCAGTGTGGGTGTCTGGGACTGTCCCTGCTCATCTGACACTTGACCCTTGTGTGCCAGGGTCCTGGAAATACAGGATGAGATTTTTCCAGGATGAGATTTTTCCAGGATTAGCCTGAGCCCAGTAGTGTTTGCACAGACATGTGCCACCAAGGCCTGCTTGATTTGGAGGAAGGGTTTGAGTGCCTTACAGTTTTATTGGGGTTCATTCAATCTGCATCACTTGGACGTGAACTCTGATGGGCTGGATCAGGTCTGCAGTGACCCAGGGCTTGAAAATAACTGTGCCATGGACATCTCTGTATCAGAACTTCCTCCTGCCAGTCCTGTGTGTCCATGTGTCACCTTTGCCTTGCTGGCACGTGGAGTGCTCTGAACCCCTGTGCTCACAGCTGTGAGCTCTGCCCAGGAGGAGATTTCTTTATCAGAGCATTGCATTTCCAGCGCAGCTGATGATGCAAGATGTGTTCATCATCATCACTTGCCTTTTTTGGCTTCTGTTTGTCTGCTGGTGGAATTTATTGTCTGCCATGGAGCGCTCCATGCTGAGGTCAGGTTATTTTAAGTTAATGCCATTTAAGGGATTTCAAATCTGGGACACTTGTCTCTCTGTGGTCGCAGCATCCGAGCTGCTTGAGGAGCTGACATCTAGTGGCCAGAAAAGTGGTTCTCCTGGAGTGACTGTCAGGTCTGGGGAGTGCTTTTGGAGTACATCCTAAGTCCTAGTTGTACTTTCACAGAAAAAAAAAAAGTTGGTTTTTATTTATTTATTTATTTATAATAAATGTGGCACCCAGTGTGACAGGGCAGTCCTGGCTGTGGCTGCTGTTGTTTTGGAGGGCTCTGGTGTCTTAAGAAACCTTTTCTTGACAGAATACTTGCAAATCTAGCAAAGAAACTGTATTTTAGTAATACAGAGAAAATGGTGTTGCATTGCATGACTGAATAAAATTTTGAATTTGGAAGAGCAGCTGTATCTCAGGTTCTCCTGGAGTAAGAAGCCAGTTTTCCTACCTAGCACAGCCTCTGAAAACAGCACATTTTGAGTGAGCTGGAGCTGGTGAAATTCTCTAACAGTGTGCAAGTAGCTGCTCCTTTGTCCTGGTACTTCTCCTCAACTGTGGGCACTTTTCTTCTCCAAAAGAAACCTGGACCCACCACAGTCCTTGAGACCTGAGAACCAAACCATAATCCTTGATGCCCAGCCTCCTAAAAAATCCAATTATAATTGCTCTCCAGATAGCAGTTAAAGCAAATACAGATTTATGTTTTTGATTCGAAACATCATCTTTCCTGTGAAGAAGTTCTTTACCAAATGCAATTGTTTAAAAACAGCCTGGTCCAAATAGCTCACTTGTAAAACAACAGTGGCAAGAGGCTCATTGTTAATTATTAATCAGGGCTTTGTGTCCATGTAATAATTCAATTTTGCAAGGGTTTCCCCTTTGCTTTCCCTGTCGGTGTGGTGCAGGAATGCTCCATCACCTCAGGGAGCACAAGCCCAGGTGTGGGGCGTGGGGAACTCTGCAGTGCAGAGCTGCAGTGGACATTGGTGTGTGCCTTCCCTGTGGTCCTGCTGCTGAGGGAGGGGCACTGGAGTCTCCAGAGAAACACAGCCTGGAGGGCAGCTGGAGTCTGTAATGGCAAAGGAAAATAAAGAATCAAAGTTGAGGTTCTTTCATGCAATTTGTGTAGAAGTCAGTAGAAAGGAAGATAGAATTCCTGGCTGGAGCTGTTCCCATCCCTTTTTCACCTTTCCCTCCCTAGGTATCTGCCTTCTGTCTTGTCTGAGCTTTTCATCTCATGTTTTATTCCAGAATTTTGTCCAATTGTACCCAAATTATGGGTTACTTAAATGATGTGTGTCTATCTCCCCAAACAGTTGAAAAAGGGAATTGGAAATTACACTGTTGGAAGCTGGAAAAAGAGGAAATTAGGCTCTTTCAGATGCTTGCTGTTTTTCCAGTCCTTTGAAATAATCTTGAAGAAAAGGAATTTTTGTAAAACCCCCTCTTCTAAAACACTCAGCAATTGAACTGTTCTCCTTTAATTTCAGCATGCAGCAGATCTGGAAAAGAAACAGAATGAAACTGAAAACAGAAAACTGCTGGGAACAGTCATCCAGTATGGGAATGTCATCCAGGTAGGCTGTGAACATCTGTGCAAGCTGGAGAGGATTTAGTTGAAAATTCCCTGCTCAGTGGACTTCAGATTTCTGGAATTGATGACCAAGAGTCTGTAGTTTTGCCAGGTTTCACTGTGCTCTGAAGTGGGATCCTGGGAAGCAGGGCCTGGGTGTTACATCTGTGATGAGATCAGTTTTTTATTATGGTTAATTGGCTTTGAGGTCTCCATTGATTATTTCTTTCAGAAATCCTTGTTAGAGCCCTCATTAGAGTTGTTGGGAGGTGGCACATGTGCAACACCAAATATCCTCTCACGGTGAAATGTTGACACTTAAGTCATAAACTGACACAGAGAAGGAAAATCAATAGAAATATTTAGATCTTTTTGTTAGATCAGGCCAAGCAAAGCAAGAGAAAAGCAGCTTTGCCTCTTACCAGGGAGAGCCCCTTAGTCCCCAGCATTTGGAATCTTCCTAAAACCAGGAGGTCATAAGCTTCAGTGTGCTCTGGGGTTCAGGCCAGGTATATTTGGTGCCTAAACACAGTGAATTTATCAATCAGCCATCATTTATCCTGTAGCCACACCTGTACCAGAACTCAGTCTGCTTCTTCTGCAAGGCTCTGAGTCCAGTAGCACAGGGGTTTTTGCCTCAGTCCCTGAGTTTGGTGAGCTAAATTCTGAACAAAGCAGAATCTTGGTGGAATACTCAGACTGGCATCTCTCCAGACTGCAAAAAGGTTTTCCTCCCATGGCTCCCATTAAAAAAAAATAAAAAAGGAAAAAAAAGAGCTTTCTCAGGGTGCAAATTTGTCTGATGCTGCACTTCTCTGCAGGTTGTCATTGGAGACAAAGTAGTCCTGAATCCTGTCAATGCTGGCCAGCCTCTCCATGCCAGTAGCCATCAGCTTGTGGATAATCCAGGATGCAATGAGGTAAGAGGACTTTGGCACAGCTGGAGCAGCTGTACAAACCTCTGTGTGCTTCAGCTTACCCATTTGTACATGGTTTGGAATTCGACATGTTGGTTGGTACCCGTGGCACTGCTTATTAGGAATGGTTATTCTGGTAATCAGTGACTTAAAAGATGAGTTTTGGAGTTCTACTTCCACTTGGGTGCTGGCAGAGGTTTGGGTTTGATCTCTTTTGCATGACTGGCTAAAAGCAAGTTGTTCCTTCAAAATCAGGAGTTGTGGCACAGTGGTGTGCCCCATACTAGTCACTGTGAAGAAAATTAAATCTACAGCACAGATGTGTAACAAGTGACTTCCAAGCAAGTCAGCTCTGCAATTACTTGTTCTGGAGCAGATACAGAAGAGACTTTCCTTCTCCAGACAATGCAGCCAGGCCTGCAGTGTTCTGGTGAAAATAGTATAAAATCAGACAGTTGCTCATGGCAGGACCTTGTGCAGGCACAGGACAGTGGGACTGATGGTCTCATTCTCCTTCTAGGTCAACTCAGTGAACTGCAACACCAGCTGGAAAATCGTGCTCTTCATGAAATGGAGCGACAACAAGGACGACATCCTGAAAGGGGTGAGAGGCAGAGCTGTGCCTGACTGCAGCTGGGGCCCTGCTGGGCACGGCCCCTGCTGACCCCGCTGCCTGCCTTTGGCAGGGGGACGTGGTGAGGCTGTTCCACGCCGAGCAGGAGAAGTTCCTGACGTGTGACGAGCACAGGAAGAAGCAGCACGTGTTCCTCAGGACCACGGGCAGGCAGTCGGCCACGTCTGCCACCAGCTCCAAAGCCCTGTGGGAGGTGGAGGTGAGGAACTGGGGCTGCCTTGCTAGGAACAATTCCTCCTTCTGTTTAAAACACTCTGCCTGGCTTTCTCGCTTTAGGTAGAATTGTGCTGGTGTTAGAAGTTGAAATCAGAATTCCTTCACTTGCTGTGCTTTCTGTGCACAGTCACGGTGGAGCTCTGCTCTCAGCACAGAGCTCTCGAGTTCAGGTGCTTCACAGTTCAGGAAAAGGGCACAGAGAAACATCAGTGAGGTCATTTTCTTACCAGTCACTGAAGTTTAACAGCAGCTTATAATTTCCACTGTCCTGCTGAGTGTACTGAAGGCTCTATTTTTGGTGTGGAATAATGTGATTATGTATGGCCTCATCTGATAGGAGGCTGCAGCCCCTTGCTAGTCTGTCTGAAGTGGCTTTTTAAATTCACTTGGCTTTTAAACAGAGTGACTAACACTTGGCCATCAGTGGCTTCTGAAAATAGCCTCAACCTGTTGGTATTATTAGCATTGGTTTATGATCTTTAAATTTGATTCAATTATGAAGTGCATATAAGAATAAAAAAATAAATTGTAATGCTGGATAGGTGTTTTTATATTCCTTTTGCAGAAGTATCTGCTGTGACATTCAGTTTCTCCTGTATTTCAAATGAAAGTCTGCCTGTAATTAGCATTATTTTGGCATTTAGTCCGTCTGTGGTAACTCCCCATGTGTGTGCAGTTACCTGGACAGGTGAGAGTTCTTCCCTGAAAGATACAGGGTCAGCTGTGATGAGTTTTCTTTAGGAATCAGGTTAACCCTAACCCACAGAGTAGCCAGTATGGGGTTACAGGTGTTGGAGGCTCTCCTTGCCCCATTTTGTCAGTGCATATAAATATTAATTCTTTTGTACAGCATTGTTGCATTTGAAATATTTCCAGATGTCTTCCCTCATCCACTTTAAACAGCCAAAAATTTAGTTGTAGCCATAGGGTAACGGATTTGTGGCCTTCTATAGTGGTTTGTTTCAGGACCTGGCAACACATGCACATAGAGAGCCCCTTCTTTAATTCATTACAAACTGAGGGCAGCTATTCCCAGCCAGCTCAGAGCGTTCCCTGCACTCTCCTGGTGACAGATAGAAGCTGGCTTTGTCTTTCCTCAGCCCCTGGTTGTGTTTGCCCTCCCTACCCGTGGAACGAGGCAGGTCCTGCTGGGAGGGGGGGTCTGTGCTGCTCTCCAGGCGTGTCCCTGTCCCTGCAGGTGGTGCAGCACGATCCCTGCCGGGGGGGAGCTGGCTACTGGAACAGCCTCTTCAGGTTCAAGCACCTGGCCACGGGGCACTACCTGGCAGCAGAGGTACGTGGGCTGGGCTGGCACCTCTGCCTGCCCTCACGCTGTTCTCCTCCTTTGGCACCTGCTCAAAATCTGTCATTTCCCACCCTGAGGCTGGACACGGGGAGGGGAGGAGAGTGGTCATTTGGATTCATGCAGAAATAGATGCTCAACGTAGGGGATAAAATGGAAGAGCTGAGGGAATATCGTGGTTTGGGGTAGTCATGAGCTGATTACACTTTTTGTGTGAATTCGAGAGTCCAGAACTTCTCCTGCAAAGAATAGGCACTAAATAGTATCCTGTCATGTGGGCACTGGAATCAATGGGACTTCATTAACTGATGAATAAATGGTAAATGACTGAAAGCCTTTGGGGGAAAATGAATTCAAGTGTTGGTAATTTCTCTTGAATCACTGATTTTTGAGCAGAATCGTGGAGCTGAGTATAAAATGAAAACACTGACTTCAGACCGGTCTGTAAGAACTGCAGATAGAGAAAAGTCCAGATTAAATACCCCATTTTATATTCTTCTGATAAGCAGATTGGAAAACCAGAAACATTTTGTCACATGCACACTGCAAATCCTTTTCAGTAGTGATCCAGTGTAGAGCTTTTCCAGTAAATCTTGAGTTTTCTAATCAGCCAAAACAAAAACATGCTCTTACATCATGCAAGAATATCCCAGAGGAGATTGCTCACCTGATCTCTGGTTAGAATAATGTTTGTTCTAAAAGATTTCTCCAAGCCAGTAGTTTCTAGCTGGAAATTCCACTTGGAATTTAAACAACAAAAAGAAAGCATGACCTGGTTAACTCTCTACTCTTGCTCCTGTAGTGGTTCTCCTGACTTGAGATAACTCTCCCTGCATGTTTGCAGGTTATTTGGCTGATTTGCAGCCTGGTGAGCCGTGCTGGGTGTGGGCAGTGTGCTCTGCATGCCTGGAGCAGTGCAGGGCACTGGTGACCACGAGGTTCAGTGATGCTCAGGCTGTTTGCCCCTTGCAGCTGTGCTGGAGTTTTGACCTGCCTGTGATTCTGTTCCATCAGGTAAACCCTGACTATGAGGAAGATGACCTGGAGTGTCAATCCTCAGTAAGTATAGGCAAGGGTATGGTCCTGCCCCTGGCTGAGGAGGGCTTGGCACAGCCCCAGGGCTGCCCTGGCCAGGGCACAGCTGGCCCCATTGTTAGTGAAGAAACTAAAAACCTGACAATGCTCTGGAGGCTTTTAAGGCCTGTCCAAGGAGTGGGTGTTGACACCTTAGTGCAGAACAACCCACTTGGAACTGAATTACCACATTACCTGAACCCCCCTCAGCTCCTCCCTTTGTGGCATCTTTTTCTGTCTTCCTGTTTCCTCAACCTTTGCTTCCTTGGAGCTCTGTCCTGCCGTGGACTGGAAATAAGTTGCTCAAGGTGACACCAGATGGGGCTTGTCCCTGAGGGAATGTCCCCCAGAGCTGTGCCTGTCTGACCTCTGTGGTTAAGCAGCAGATTTGCTGTTATTGTACCTTGTCTCAGGAAAGCAGGATAACAGCAGGAATGGCAGGGGGAGGGTGATTCCAGTGCCATTCCCCTGCTTTTCCTGTGGGAGCCAGTCTGTGTTGTCAGTAAATGTTGTTGTGTCAAAGATTGAGTGTGTGGTGCTCTGTATTGACAGAAGCTTCCCTTTGGTGTCAGAGGGAACCAACATTGCTTCAGGAGTTGAAAACAGAGAAAACTGGAACAGCACTTTGCATTGTGGATTTTATTTATTTAGTTGGATTTGGTCATAGGCTTATGCAGCTTTCTTGGTCATTTATCTTGTATTATGGAGGATTTGCACCATTTGGGTATGACAAAGAGCTATTCCTTCCGTTCCTAAGAGATGGATGTGATGCTTGGAAATCCTGCGGGGTGCATTTTTCCTCCTAAAAGGATTTTTCATTATAGTCTGGCCATTAAAATGCTTCCCTCGCCCTCAGGTATTGAGCTGTTTTCCTGATTACTTCTTGGTGGCATTTGGCAGCTTGACTGCAGTAAACATGGTAAAAAAAACTGAACAAACCCCACCCATAGCTGTTCCCTGGGGTGTGGGGGGAATCCAATACTGAGGTGTTTTATTGGGTTAATTTTTTGAGAATTAATCAGGGTTGAGGGGCTTTAGGTAGACACCCTGCCCCTGTGATGTGTCCTGCTGACATGTGCACGGGTAACATTCATGCACTGTCTCAGCTCTCTGCTTTTTCCCTGCTCTGTCTCTTTACCACTAGATGGCAAAAATAGACCAGCAAGAACAGGAGCAGGAGCACATAATTCAGCTCTGACAGGAAATTGCCACATCGTTTGTCATTCTCTGCTGACAGGAGGGTGTGGGCTGCTTTATCCAACTTTATCCGAACTCCAGCGTGATCCAAGCGCGAGCTGTCTGCGGGCTTTCTGTGCGCAGCTCGCTGCTTTGGTTGCTGCTTTCTCCTTGTCCCTCAGAGGAAGGGTTTCCATGGGCATGGGTGAGGTGCCAGCTCCACCTTCCAGCAGCAAAAGGAGCTGCTCGTGTCACCCCTGGGGTTGAATTTCAGTGCTCCCTGAATTGCCCCATTTCCTGCTTTCTGCTTTACTCCTCGTGTTCAGCTTTGCCCCAGTTTGAAGAAGTGACCAGTTGTCTCCCAAAGGACAAGCAGAGCAGCTGTATCCCTCACTGTGTTCCCTCCCCTTGCTGGGGGGGATGAAGGAGACAGCTGAAATTCAGAGAATTCATTCCAAGTGAGCGAGTTTCTCCCAGAATTTCTCTCCAGATGGACTCTGAGTGTAGAGTTGCTCCTTCCCTTGAAGGCACACTCCCAAAGTGTATTTCTGTTCCATACAGATAACTGCCTGTTCCCATGTACAAAATCAGACTTTAAATGTCACTGCTTTGCAGCCAAGTTCATTGACTGCAAATATGTTAACTTGGGAGTATCCTGAGGCACAAGCAGCACTGGATACCTTTCCCATCTGCTCCAGGATGGCAGTGCCTTGCAGCAGGGCTGTGACAGGCAGGTGCCTGAGTGCTGACTCCCTTGGGAGCCACCATCACAGAGGAGCTGAGAAATTGCTTTCTTGGTCACCTTGAGAACGGCAGCCAGGATTTAGGTGGTTGTGCATGGACAGCTGGTTCCTGTGTGCCAGGACAGTGAGTGAGCAGCTTCTTCAGGGACTTGTGACAGCTGGGAGTTCCCTAGGAAAGGATTTGGAGAAAGTTGTTCCTTTTTCTCGGTTCATCTTTGGTTTTTTCCTACCCTTTTGTCCTTCCATCTGAAGCCCCAAGGTTTATCCAGTTGATGTATCTTTACTTTACTTTGCTGGAGGAGGCTGGGGATTTGCTGGAACCTTGGGAATAAAGATGCTTCTGGTGCCATGGCCTTTGGAACATGTTTTTGTGCTTGAGAGCAGCACAGGCTGCAGTGTGAGCAGCAGGACTTCCAACTCCTTGATTGGCTTTTTGTTTCTCTTGCCTGGGATTGATGGATGTGGCTCCCATTTTTGCTGCTGAAGCTGATTATTTCCCAGCGAGCTTGTTTGGTACATGGCGTGGCCGGGTTTTTATGTTTTCAGCTCATTAATTATGTGGTTAGAGGGATAATTGCAATGTGTGGGGTATGTTTGGAGAGCTGGTAGTGCCAGGATTGGGGATCTCAGCTGATGTGTGTTCTCAGAGCTCCCAGTGTGTGTGGGGTGAATGGCTGGGGGGGTTTGTCTCTTCTGGCACCGTCTGTGAGACGTGAGCTCTGCGTGGAGGGGGAGTTGCTGTGCTGGCACTCAGGACGTACCCAGGGGAAGCAAGGCGTACTTGGCCAGAGCAGCTGGGTGTCCTGCAGCCATTCCCCTGGCCCAGAGTGCCCCCCGTGTGTCTGGGGCTGTGGGGGGCTCTCAGGGCTCCCCTGAGGCCGTGGCCTTTCTCCACAGCTGGACCCCGAGCAGGAGGCGGCGCGGCGGGGCCGGGGGCCCCAGGAGAAGATGGCCTATTCCCTGGTGTCCGTGCCTGAGGGCAATGACATCTCCTCCATCTTCGAGCTGGACCCCACCACCCTGCGAGGAGGAGACAGCCTGGTCCCCAGGTACAGTGGCCTCTGCACAGCTCCGGGGTTTTTGTGGGTTTTTCAAGTCAAGCTGCCCCAGACTGTCTTCCTTTTATCCTCTGGAATCAGGTTCCTCCTCTAATGAATGTAGAAATAATGAGAAAATGCCTGAAGCTTGGCCTGAGTGCTTTACAATTGAGGTATAAGTAAGAGAACACCATTTTGCAGATAGGAAAATTGAGACTAAGTGACTTCCTAAGTGACTTCCTTGCCAGGAATGATCTGGGACTAAAAGCCTTGGTTTGTCCTATCAAGGCGTTCATTCCTGTGACCTGTCTGTATTGGGTTAGGATGTAACACCAACTATTCAGCACTGGATTTTCTGTTGTTTGTGTGTTCTTTACTGTTCATGTGGCACCTCATGCTGTTGAAAAGCTGCTGCACCCTTCCAAGTGCCATGCTCTGCACACAGCTCTTTGCTGCTGTTCCCACTGGGAAAGCACAGCAATTCTGTTCCATCTATTCAGCAGCTCCCTGGATCATCAGGTACCCATATTTTGGAGTATCAGGGAGTTTTGGGCTGAAAACCCCAGAGGTAAAGGGAGAAGCTGGCAGCTCACAGCAGTGGAAAGGTGAGGATGGGAAGAGGTTCAGCTTGTTACAGCAGCTCAGAGTGGCTGTGGTTCTGTTCTGGAGCAGAATCTCTTTCACTACAGGAGAAACCTTCCTCAGGTGAATTCACAGAGTGAGCTAAGGCATTAAGAATGTTGTTCCAGTTGTGGTACGCAGTGTGCACAGAGATGACACTTCTTTTCCATTTGTTCCTGCCAGCATCTCAAAATCCCAACAATGCAAAGACTTCCCAGCTGGGAGGCTGACTCATGCTGGGGCACTCCTGACTTTCTTTCAGGAACTCCTACGTGAGGCTCAGGCACCTCTGCACCAACACCTGGGTCCACAGCACCAACATCCCTATTGATAAAGAGGAGGAGAAACCTGTGATGCTGAAAGTAAGTTCTGTGACTGTGTAAGCACATCCTTTGGTTCCTGTACTTCCACAAAAGCGGTGTTGGCAGGAGTTTCACTCCCTGTGCCTGTCACAAACCGAGCATGTGACAGTAATGAACAGTGCCTGTGCAAAATATTTGCTCTTAATGGCTCTGTTTCCTGGTATTTTTCTAGTTACACTGTTCAGTTTCTACTCCACAAGAGTCATCAGGAGCAGGATATTTTTTCCACTGGCTACAGCAACTTTTTGCCATCTCACCTGCTGCTCCTTTGAATTTAGGGACAGCTTTGAGCTTGCACAGAGTGTTCTCAGAGTTTGGGCTCAGCAGTGCTCCCATGCTGCCTGAGCACAGTGTGGCTTTTCTCTTTCATTATCACTGAGTGTGAGCCGCTGCTTTCTTCCTGCCTTGGGGTTTGCTGATAAAGCTTCTCTGGCTTTCAGATTGGGACCTCTCCAGTGAAGGAGGACAAAGAAGCTTTTGCTATAGTGCCAGTCTCGCCTGCAGAGGTTCGGGACTTGGATTTTGCCAATGATGCAAGCAAAGTTTTAGGTTCCATTGCTGGCAAGCTGGAAAAGGGAACAATAACCCAGAATGAAAGGAGGTAAGGAAACAAGAATTGGGATCAGATAATGCTGCTTCCTGTAGTCAGTAACTGGTTCTTTGACAGTTTTATCGGAGTAAGTGATAAAGAGGGATTTGGTTTCCTCCTTGATGGGATTTGATGTTGTTGTGTCCATAGTGGAGGTTCTCAGGCCTGGATTGTCCAGCCCTCCTTGTCCTCCGTGAAGTGAGAGCATGAGAAATGTTGTGAGCTTGGGGGACTAATCCCCAGCATACCTCTGCAGATGGAGTGTGGGAATTCCTAATCCATCTTGTGAGGACTGAACATGTGACTTGCAGCAAATCCTCTGGCCGTGTCTGTGAAAATGGGGCCACACAAAAAGAGCACAGGGGTGGCTGTGTCACACCAGGGCCCGTGTGCTTCCATAGCCAGTGCCTTTTATTTGGCCTTGGGAGAGATTATCACCTGATTTATGGTTTGTGGCAATTGAAAGAAGTGCCAAATAGAACTTGGCAAGTGCAGAGTTATCCTAAAGGGATTTTCTTGCCTTGCTGCTGTTCTGGTTTAGCTGTTGGACAGTGAGGCTGCAGCAATGGGGGAGCATTAGTTTCTAATTTTAAGTTCTATGCAAACCTCTAAGCTTTATCCAATCTCTAATTGGTGTTAGTTTTTCACTTAGCATTTGGAAATCTGTGTAAACTTACCCCGGCACTGCTCTTTTAGCACAGAGAATTTGTATTCTCATGTTAACAGCTTCTGGCTTTTCCACAGATCTGTTACCAAACTGTTGGAGGATTTGGTCTACTTTGTTACTGGTGGAACTAATTCTGGCCAGGACGTGCTTGAGGTGGTGTTTTCTAAACCTAACAGAGAACGGCAAAAGCTGATGAGAGAGCAGAACATTCTGAAGCAGGTAGGCTGGGGTTTTCTCTGAGCTCTGCCTGTGAGAAGAGTTATTGGAAAAAAGAACCTGGTAACAGAGAACCTGGCCAGGCTGGATGGGGCTTGGGGCAGCCTGGCCTGGTGGGAGGTGTCCCTGCATGTGGCAGAGGGTTGGAACGAGGTCATCTTCATGGTCCCTTCCAACCCAAGCCACTCTGTGGCTCTGTGAAACTTTGGTCTCAAATTATTGGGGCCAAAAGGTCCTGTGAGTTTCCAGCTTTCAGCAGGCTCTGGGCAGTGGGCTGTAGGCTCACCATTGCTGGAACTAAGAATTCCAGCAGATGGTGTTGAATGAAGGAGATGAGCATCTTATGTCCGGGCTGCTCCATGGCCAAGAGCCGTGGTGACTGCAGCATATTTCTGATGTACCTTTTGAAATACAAAGGCACAGAGCTTTGGCATTAGTTATGAGCAGGAGAAGGCAGTGCCTCATGGGGCTGTGTCTGTGTTTTTTACTGGATCTGTAGATTTTCAAGCTGTTGCAAGCACCCTTCACGGACAGCGGGGACGGGCCGATGCTGCGGCTGGAGGAGCTGGGGGACCAGCGCCACGCGCCCTTCAGGCACATCTGCAGGCTCTGCTACAGGGTGCTCAGGCACTCCCAGCAGGACTACAGGAAAAATCAGGTTGGAAATACCTCTGCCATCATCAATGGCACCAGCGTGGCTCCTCTGCTCAGATAAAAAAAGCTTTATCCCATAAAGTAAACCCTGCTCTGTTGTGGCTGCACAGTCAGCAAGAGCTTTTGGGATTGCTCACTTTGATTCTGTTTTTCACCTGTCAGAAACTATAAGCAAATTAGCACAGGTTCTAAGTGGGAGGGATTTAGGAAAACAACAGAATTTTTAACTGTCCCACACAGGTGAATTACAAGATTGTTCACTCTTGCTGACTGCAGGCTCCATTGAAAGTTGCCCTGTAAATTAAGGCTGTTCAGTTTTTGTTGCCATGTATTAAAAGCAAGGTCTTGTCAGATAGGTATAAATGTCTTGCTACTGTGTTTAGCCCAGCAGAGAGAGCAGGGATAGAGGTGTTAAGGTTGTTTGTTTGCTTTCTTTCAAACAAACAATTTGGATCTTACCCAGTTTGCGCCTTGGAATGTTGGTATTGACAAACGTCCACCTGTTTTCTGTTACTATTTCAAATTCTGAGGGCTAATTGCACCCCCTTCCTCCTTGCCTGTGTGTTTTGAAGGAATACATTGCCAAGCAGTTTGGCTTCATGCAGAAGCAGATTGGCTATGATGTCTTGGCTGAGGACACCATCACAGCCCTGCTCCATAACAACCGCAAGCTCCTGGAGAAGCACATCACAGCTGCTGAGATTGACACCTTTGTGAGTCTCGTGAGGAAAAATAGGGAGCCCAGGTGAGAGCTGCATTTCTGAATATGTGATTACCCTTCTCCTTCTGGGAAAAGTCTGCACCTGCCAGCTTGCTCAGGAGGAAGCACAGCCAGTTTGCTGTGTTCTGGCACTCGCCCTGCCGTCCCCTCGGGCAGCAAGTCTTGCTCTGCACTGTTCGAGTGGAGTTCTGAATGTTTGCTTCCTGAAATGTAGATTGCTTCAGCTGAGATCTCACCAGTGATTGATACCCTTTTGGCTCGTGCTTTCCAACAGGTTTTTGGATTACCTCTCGGATCTGTGCGTTTCCATGAACAAGTCTATTCCCGTGACACAGGAGCTGATTTGTAAGGCCGTGCTGAACCCCGCCAATGCAGACATTCTCATTGAAACCAAGTAAGTCCGTGCCTCTCAAGATGCTTCTCCTGGTGTGAAGCAGAAGGGAAGGTGGCTCAAAGCTGAGCACGCTGCTGGCACGTCCCAGGGAAGCGGGGAATGAATTGTGTGGGATCCTCTTCAAACACGGAGCAGGGCTGGGGACAGCAGGTGTCTGCCAGGTGCACCCCCAGCCCCACAGGCAGAAATCCCTCCCATCTCTCTTTTCGGATGCAAAGCACAAAGACTTTGCAGGGAGGTGTGCAGGCTCCTGGGCTGATCTTCCCCCAGCTCTGAGGGAGCTCAGCTGGCAGCAGAGCAGAAGCTGCTCTGGCCCTGCTCACCTTTCCTCCCACTGAAGGTGGGGTTTGGGTCTCCAGCTCTGCTCTGCCATTGCTGAGGCCTCAGAGCAGGCACCAAATCCCATTTGTCTTTGGTAAAGATGGCTTTATTCAGTATATGTACTAGAGGATAGATAACCATTATCAAAATACTGCAAAAGGGAAGCAGGTAGTATTTAAAACACAAATGGCTGAGAGTAGACTTTCACATTTAATTCTTGTCATGAAATCATAAAGGCTGTATTTATTTCCATGAACTCTTAGTATTGGTACATCACTTATTTATCCTTGAGTATTTAATTTGGGGTTTTTTTCAGGTGGTGATATTTTCTTTGATGGAAACCTTTTTAGTATCGGCAGCTGATTTATTTCTAGTTACTTCATCACATAAACTGAAAGAAATTCTGATCCACTTGGCATTTATGGGATACAGAATGAATCAATTTTTTTCTTTCCTATGTCTTTTCCTGGTCTGTTGAATGATCTTTGAATCAGTTCTCCTCTAAAGAAGGTTTTGAAAGTCCATTATTATGCGTCTTTAACTTCCTTGTTTCTTTACCTTTTTCACTTGAAAGGAGCTGAAATGTTCATCTTTTTAAGGCTGAATGGAAAGCTTATAATCTAATGCTTTTAATAATACACCCCAGTGATTTGCTGTAGTAAAATGCTACTGCTGAAAGGGCAAGATAGATTTTAGCGAGTGTCTTAAAAGAGGTGTGAAGGATGTATGTGGGTCTGGAATGTAACCTCCCTTTCTCCCCCAGGCTGGTGCTCTCACGATTTGAATTTGAGGAGGTGTCGAGTGGAGAAAATGCCTTGGAGGTCGGAGAGGACGAGGAGGAAGTGTGGCTGTTCTGGAGGGACAGCAACAAGGAGATCCGCAGCAAGAGCATCCGGGAGCTGGCCCAGGACGCCAAGGAGGGGCAGAAGGAGGATCGGGACGTGCTCAGCTACTACAGGTTAACAGCACTCAGCAGGGCTGCCTGGCCAGGGTGTGCTAGGGCAGCAAAGCTCCTTGGGTGTGCTTGGGCAGCTGGACTGGGTGTGCTTGGGCAGCAAAGCTCCTTGGGTGTGCTTGGGCAGCAAAGCTCCTGTTCCATGCACAAAACAGCCTTCAGAGAAGGAGGGTGAAGGCTCTCAGCAGTGAGAGCTGAAAGCACAAAGTTACTCGTGGTGAGGAGTCCAGGTGTTGACATGAGCCAGTTTAAACTGATTTTTAAAAAACAGTTCAGTCTTTGAGTGTGTTGAATTTCCCAAGCACTTAGTGCTTGGTTTCCTGTTGGTGGGTGTTGGAAAATCCCCTGCAGGTGCCCACTGGGCTCGCTGTGCACTTGGGGATTGCAGGATTTGGGTGTGTGGATGGCTTTGCTTTTGGTTTGCAAGAAGTCACTGCTGTTCTCTGTCCTGCTTTCTCCCCAAGCCTTCAGTGGCCCTGTATTGCCAGCAGCAGCAGCATGAAGCTGTGTTGGTGCCCCAGGCTGGCTGTGGAGGGTGTGCAGGGCTGTTTGCACAGTCCAGCCGTGCTTTGGGCAGCTCTGACACGGGTGAGGTTTCCAGATGACTTGACAAGACACCGAGTTCTTGGCATAGTGTGAGGTCAGGTTTCAGCCCAGACCAAATTCCTGTGTCTGGGTTATAAACCCCTGAGAGTCATTTGACAGACTCAATTGTGGCAGTGCAGAAAGTACAACTAGATTATTTGTTTAAATAACCATTTTGTTTTGAATTGTTTCTTTCATTGAAATGATTCTTGCAGGAAAATTCCTCATACCTAGTTTTATTTGAGCCTGCTGGAGCTCAAAAGGAGACCTCTTACATAAAAGTTCTTTAAAACATACTTGCTTTCAAAGTAGGTGTTCTGTTTAGTTTTAAATAGAGTTGATAAATTTTGGTGTGTGTATATATATTGGTATAACAGTGGTAGTGTTAATTGTTTTTAGTCTACATTATACCTCATAAACATGCTTAAAATAAGGGCTTAGGATATGGTTTGGTTAAATTCCATGAGGGGATGCTAAAAATTAAAGGAATCTGCTGTCAATTAAATAATCTTTTCTTTAGGAAGCCTCACACTGGCCAGTGCTGAGCAGCAGCCTGTGAGCACTGCTGAGTGTTGGGCACGAGCTTTATGGCTACAGGTGAATTATCTGTGGGTTGGGCATAGGTGAGGTGCCAGTGGTCAGTTCATGGGCTGAAATCTTAGGACTGAAGTTCAGTTTTTCTCTACCAGTTCTCTCACTGAAGGGAGCAGAGCTCGGTAGCTGTTCCATCAGTGCCTGATTTTGGGTGATGCACCCATCTGTGTTGCTGCCTCAGGGACAAGTGTGGCTTCAGCAGCTGGAGGCAGCCTTTGGCCTTACACAGTGTTTAGGCTGAGTTGCTTTAAGTGTTGTTTGCATTCTGCTGTAGCTTTCATAAAAAACCATTTTTTATTATTTCCTGTCAGGGTAGGAGGCCCTGGCACTGCTGCTCTTTGGCATGCACAAGGCAGCCTTCCATCCACCTTCCTTCTTCACTGCTCGTGTTGATACGGTTTTCTGCGAGTATTGTGTTTAATTCTCATTGGGCAGTAACTCGTCGCTGCCCAGTTTGTTGGTTAGTAGTTGCTGGAGCTCGCCAAAGACTTTCTTCTCTAAAGGTGTTTGCGTTCTTGTGTCCTGGGTAGAAGATCCCACAGGTACCAGTTCCTCCTCTCCCAGGTGCAGCTTGGTTCCCATGGGATGATTGCTGGATTGATTCTGATGTGCAGGCTGATTCTCACAGATCCGTGGCAGCCCAGCCATCAGCTGTACTTAGCCCAAGCACCAGGCCTGAGCCGTGGCTTTAAAAGGTTTTACCCATATGCAACAGCTGTGCAGTTTTAAGGCAACATCAGCCCTGAAGTTGTCCATTGTTTATACAGTTGCTGTTTGTAAATAAATCAAACACCCTGTAAGGTGTTGCTGAGAATGAAATAAGCTCCCTGTGTGTGGGGTGAGCTCAGTGGTCACGGCGTGTCTGGGTGATGTGACCATGGAGTGACCTGGACCTGGGCAGGTGCTGACCTGGACCTCTCTCCTCCTGCCTCATTTGGTTGGATGAGAAACACAGGATTGTTGAGCTTGGGAAAGCCTTTCAAGCTCAAGTCCAAAGTTACTGGGGCTGGAGCACCTGGGACAGTGGGAGGTGTCCCTGCCATGGCAGGGGATGAAACAGGGTCATGTTTAAAGTGCTTTCAGGGATTTTTTGATGTTTAATGAGTGATTCTATGTTATTTATTCTGTGCTGTTTAACTTATTCTATTGTTCCACTGTTTGCTAGTGTTAGATAAGTGCTTTATTCTTTCCACAGTAAGGACTGAGCTGTATTAACAGACAATGTAATATTATTTCTATTAATACACAAGGGTATATCAGTATGCTTCACAGTATAACTGTATTTATATATACTTTATATATATGCTTTATATTTATTTATGCTTTGCTTTATATATTTTATATATATAAAGTATACTTTATATGTATTTGTATATGCTTTGTATCTAATTTATAAAGTACATTGTATATAAATTTATATATACTTTACAGTACTCAGGAAATTAAAGCTTCATGCCCACATAAATTAAATAATATAATTTCTTCTTTTTTTCCTTTTTCTAAGGTGTTGCTGAGAATGAAATAAGCTCCCTGTGTGTGGGGTGAGCTCAGTGGTCACAGCGTGTCTGGGTGATGTGACCATGGAGTGACCTGGACCTGGGCAGGTGCTGACCTGGACCTCTCTCCTCCTGCCTCATTTGGTTGGATGAGAAACACAGGATTGCTGAGCTTGGGAAAGCCCTTCAAGCTCAAGTCCAAAGTTCAGCACTGAGCCATGTCCCCAAGTGCCACATCCACACATCTTTGGGATGTTGCTTCCACCACTGCCCTGGGCCCCCTGTTCCAGGGAAGACATTTTCATTAAAATCTCTCTAAACTGCCCCAGTCTGGGGCCATTTCCTCTGAGTGTGGTCCCCTCAGGACAGACTGTCCTTATGGGAGCTCACCACCACCAACAGAAACAAGGGGGAAGATGCTCAAACAAGGACACATTCCTGAACTTCCAGTGGAAAATCCTCTGGCAAGGTGCTCAAAAACCTACACAAAACCACAGCTGGAGCAGGCACATGGTTTCTTGACCACTTGTATTAACTCTATAATTAATAATTCCAAATTTATAGTACTCAGCTCTTCAGAGCTCATTTTTTTTTTCAGTTGGAGAAAATGAACAGCTAAAATTGAAGTTACATCTTAGGAATTTCAATTTTGTCAATGTTAATACTGGTGTTCAGTGGTTTCTTGTATTTCCCTCCTTGCCAGCCTGGTTTTCTCTGCTGAGAGAGATGCAGTAGATAATAAATCAAATTTCAAGGCCAAAATATAAAACCAAATGGTTTTGGCTCTGGCAGAGGCTCACCAGTGATAAGTGATCAAACAGGAAGCAAAAGTATTTTGTGGGATTGTCCTTCTCAAAGTCACTCTGCTATATACTTTATCCAGGAAATTAAACCATAATCTTCAAGCTTACACAGATTAACACATACGATTTTCTTTTTTCCCTTTTCCCCCTGAAGATACCAGCTGAACCTCTTGCTTTATATACACACTATATACATATATTTTTATGTATATGAAGTATACTTTATATATGCTTATTTATATATGCTTTGTTTTTAAGGGTTAAAGTAGATTGTATATATATATATTTATATATACTTTACACAGGAAATTAAACCATAATCTTCAAGCCTACATAGATTAACACAATTTTTTTTTTCCCTTTTCCCCCGAAGATACCAGCTGAACCTCTTTGCTCGGATGTGCCTTGACCGCCAGTACTTGGCCATCAACGAGATCTCGGGGCAGCTGGACGTGGACCTGATCCTGCGCTGCATGGCCGACGAGAACCTGCCCTACGACCTGCGCGCCTCCTTCTGCCGCCTGATGCTGCACATGCACGTGGACAGGGACCCCCAGGAGCAGGTGACCCCGGTCAAGTACGCCCGCCTCTGGTCCGAGATCCCCTCCGAGATCGCCATCGACGAGTGAGTGCGCGCGGGGCACGGCCGGGATGCGCTCTGGCACGGCTGGTGCCGTGCTCTGGCACAGCTGGCGCTGCTCTCTGGTATGGCTGGTGAAAAAACCCTAGAATTTATATTAAAAATTAATATCTGCTTTGCATATATATTGGTTTTATTTGGAGGAAAAATACAGCCCCCACTCAGCCTCTCTTGGCCACCCGTTCTCCTGAGTGCTGCACATCACTTGTCATTGTTTCCACTCAAATAATGAGGTTGCTTTTTGTGTTTTTTTGGGACAAAATTATCTTTTTTGTTTTCCTCAGATGTTTTAAAATAGTACCTAATGAGCGTATGGGATAAACCAACAAAAGCCAGGAAATTCTGGTGTCAGTGTCCTGCCTCCCTCGTTTGGATAAATTATTTACCAGCCTTTAGCTTTTCTTAGATTTTGACAAACCAATGACAAATTGTACTGGGGGGGAAAAGAGCCCTGTGTATTTGCATGCTAAGTTTTGTTTTGTTTCTTTTTTGTTTTGTTCTTTTTTTTCCCCTCTTCAGCTATGATAGCAGTGGAACTTCCAAAGATGAAATTAAGGAGAGATTTGCACAAACAATGGAATTTGTAGAGGAATATTTAAGAGATGTGGTGTGTCAGAGGTTCCCTTTCTCTGATAAAGAGAAAAATAAGCTCACTTTTGAGGTAGTTATCCAGTTCTGATTTTTTTCTATTTTTTTTTTTTTTTTTTTTTTCGTGTGGTATGTTGGTTATTTTTTCAGCACCAGGTAGTTTGGCAAGTAATTAGTGAGTGTAATTAGTGAGTGCTGAGCCTCAGCTGGCTCCTTTCTCCTGGTGCAAGTAATCCCACTGAAGTTTGTGAGTTTGCAGTGGTGGTTCTTGAAATACAATTAATGCATGTCAGTTTGTCTGAGGTTTGCAGCAGCCTTGTTTACTCTCTGGGCTCTTGGTGTTACTGCAAAGCCAGGCTTTACTGGAATAAATATCTCAAAAATTAAACACTGTTTGCATGCACAGAGAGTCTCCAGAGTTTAGATTGATGTTCACCAAGAGAAAAACTATCCTGTGACTTACTGACCTGTTAAAATAGTCTGTGCAAATAAAATGTTGCAAATCCACGCAACAAATAAACATTGATTTAAAAAAAGCTGTGATATCCTAAAAAAAATACAGCCAGGATCACCCTGCCCAGTCCCTGCCCTGCACAAACACCCCAAATCCCACCCTGGGCATCCCTGGCAGCTCCTGGAGCTCTGGGGCTGTGCCCATTCCTGGGGATCTGGGCAGTGCCAGCACCCTCTGGGGAAGAACCTTTCCCAAAAATCCAGCCTGACCCTCCCCTGGCCCAGCTCCAGCTGTTCCCTGGGTGCTGTCCCTGTCCCAGGGAGCAGAGATGGGAGCTGCCCCTCGGGAGGGGACCCATTGAGGTCTGACCTCAGTCTGCTCTGCCCCATCTGGACAGACCAAGAGATCTCAGCTGCTCCTTGTATCATTTCTGCTCTAGTCCCTTCCCCATCTTTGTAGCCTCCTTTAGGTGCTTTCTAACGTCTTTAGATTTTACATTTTGGCCCCCAAAACTGCCTCCAGGACTGGAGGTGAGGCTGCCCCAGTGCAGAGCAGGACAATCCCCTCCATCCCTGGCTGGTGATGCTGTGCTTGGAAATCTCCTCTCTGGCCATGGCTTGGTAGTAAAGCTGAGTAGTGCCTGTGATGGGAAAGGGCTTCTCCAAGCACTGCAGTGCTGCTGTTGACTTCCCTGTCCCCAGGGTGTGGATGTGTAATGTTGAGACCATTTCCCACTGCAGGACGTGGCCGGGCTTGCCCTGTCAGTGCAGTCCCATTCCAGCACGCTAACCCTGGCTGTTTCCTCTTGAAGGGAGCAATGTGATGAGGTCCATCCACGGCGTGGGGGAGCTGATGACCCAGGTGGTGCTCAGGGGCGGGGGGTTCCTGCCCATGACTCCCCTGGCAGCTGCCCCCGAGGGGAATGTCAAGCAGAGTGAGCCAGAGAAGGAGGACATCCTGGTCATGGACACCAAGCTGAAGATCATCGAGATACTCCAGGTACCACATGGATGCAGCTCCTCGTGCTGTGCATTAATTGTGTCCTGCTGCCTCTTCATGTACTTCTGACTCTCAGACTGGGAAAGTATTGCCAGGGTGACCTTGTCAGGCACAGGGCTCCCAACTTGTTCATGACAATATTGTGCCATTATTGAAAGAATTTATTAGAAAAGAGTTTGCAGTAGACATTTATGTATTTAGCAGTGATTTGTGAGTATCTGACTTGAGGCAGAGCTGTCATTTTCCACCCTGTTGTCTTCCCAGTTTCTCTGAGTCTGCAGGGCCATCTGAAGTGCCCCAAGGAACAGGGAGATCTCGAGACTCCTCTTGGCAGAGCCATCAGCCTGCCATGTGTTTTCAGCATGCACAGCCAGTCTCTCTCTCTTCCATCTCTGGCTTTCTCACTTGCTCACCCCAAAGTCTTTGGGACGCACACATTTTTCCTCGTTATTGACTCAGGATTATTGCACTGAGATGCATCTTCCCTCTCTGGGTGTGGGAGTCCTTTTTGTGCTCAGCAGCTTCACCAGCCCGCCCTGGGGGTCAGCGTGCTGCCAGAGCCTGGTGGGCAAAGGCAGGAGAGCAGCAGGAGAGCCGTGGTGTTCCTTCCCTGTGCCCCGTGGGAGGCTCTGCCCTTCCCTCAGCAGCAGATGCAGCACAGGGGAGGCTCCATTCCTTCCTTGCACCATTGCTAATTTCAGCTCAGGCCAGAGCTTCTCTCGTGGCCTGGCATGTGCAGGGGGGTATTTCAGTGTGCCAGTATTCCCTGCTACCAGGGCCGTTCAAGCTGGCATGAAGCATTTTCCCCAAAAGCTGCAAGAACTCTGAGTGTTCTTGGCTTTGTAGCTCCTTCCTCAAGAGGAAGACCATGGGGAAGGTGGTCTCTGCTAGGCTGGAGGTTTCTGTGGCACCAGCTGGTCCAGCCCAGCTGAAGTGGTGATTTGTGTGGCACAGCCTGGCTCCTGGCAGCTCGTGTCCTGCTCCTGTGCCCCAGCACCCCGGGAGAACAGCAGCATGTGTTCAGGATGGAGATGGAAATGCTGCTTTCCTTTCCTGGGGGGGGGGACTGGGTGAGGATGCCAGCGTCACACAGGAATGAGGCACCAAAACCCTGCCAAAATGTTTTACTCATCAGTGTTTATTATGTGTGTGTATCATGCTTGTTGAAATCCCTGGAAAATATTACTGAATTCTGGGGGTTTTGAAGGTGATATTTACATCTCTTGGAAAGATGGAATCCCAGCATGGTTTGTGTTGAAAAGCACCTTGAAGCTCATCCAGTTCCACTCCCTGCCATGTGCAGGGACACCTTCCAGGGTGCTCCAAGCTCTGTCCAACCTGGCCTTGGACACTTCCAGGGATCCAGGGGCAGCCACAGCTGCTCTGGGCACCCTGTGCCAGGGTCTGCCCACCCTGGGTAACTCTTTCAGGTTAAATCCACATCTCTGCTCAGCTGATGTCTTTGTGTGAATTGTAGATGTGGTGGAAATACACAGGTTATTTCACCTTTTTTCCTACTTCTGTGTCATCAGTTTATTCTGAACGTGCGGTTGGACTACAGGATCTCCTGCCTGCTTTGCATATTTAAACATGAATTTGATGAAAGCAATGCCCAGATGTCTGAATCCCCCACTGGAAGCAGTAGTCAAGAGATGCCAACTAATGTACCAGGTGGGTTATTTGGCAAGGAATGAGGTTGTGTGGCTTAGGGAAGACTCTGGAATCTTCAAGGGGCTAATGGGATGATTGTTTCAGGTCCCCACTTGCCATTTGAAATGTTCTTAAGCTGGAAAAACATCTTTGCTGCCACTCTGACCTCATGTATTTGTCTTGTTTATTTTTTCAGGAGCCCTGGACTTTGAACACATTGAAGAACAAGCTGAGGGGATCTTTGGTGGAAGGAAAGTATCTCTTCACAGGTGCTAATGGAGGGGAAGTTCCCAGGCTGGAGGGCTCCCAAGGAGTGGGAAAATGGCTTCGTTTTCCTAAAGTGGCTTTGATGCAGCTCTGAGTAGGGTCCCTTTGGATCCAGAGGTCAGCAACAGGGGTTCTTCAGCCAGAAGGATCATCAGGGGAGGGCTCTGTGGGTGAAAGCCAAGGTGCAGGATTAGTGCATCTCAGCTCGATGCTGCAATAAAATCTCAGTACAGTTTCCCCCCTTATTTAAAAGTAAGGAAAAAAGGTTTTCTGTCGCTGCTAAGAGGACTTAGAACCTGCTGGGACCCTCAGTCTAACGTGCTGGTTAACTGCTGCTGTGTTTCCAGTGAGGAGAACACCCCTCTGGATTTGGATGATCACGGGGGCAGGACTTTCCTCCGGGTGCTGCTGCATTTAACGATGCACGATTACCCTCCCCTGGTGTCTGGTGCCTTGCAGCTGCTCTTCAGGCACTTCAGCCAGAGACAAGAAGTCCTTCAGGCTTTCAAGCAGGTACCTGTGTGTCTGGAGAGAGTTGTTCCTCATCTGGATGTATTTATGGCAGCTGAGCCCAGCCCTTTCTGTGCAACTCATGGCTTTGCCTCCCTGTAAGGTTCAACTGCTCGTTACCAGCCAAGATGTTGACAACTACAAGCAGATCAAACAAGATTTGGACCAGCTGAGGTCAATAGTGGAGAAATCTGAGCTCTGGGTGTACAAAGGCCAAGGTCCTGATGAGGCCATGGACAGTGTGCCAGGTGAAAACGAGCACAAGAAGAAAGAGGTAATTGGGTTGTGTTGGTGTGAATTTGGGTGGGTATTTGCAGGGTGTAGCTGCTGTCAGAACTGTGACAAGGCCCATCTTCCCAGCACACTGCCTAGGTGAGGTTCTCTCTACTGCTTTCAGGTTGAGGCAGGAAAGAGGGGAGAACTTGAGCCAGTAGCAGCCCCTGAGGTGTCACCTTCAGGGTCTGACAGGGCTGGTTTGGGTTTGCTCTGGCTCCCCAGCTGTGTCCTTTCAGCACTGACCAGTGGCACGGGATTTGTGCAGTCAAAAGTACCTCAAGTAAGGTAAGGGCAGAGCTGTGAGCTGCTCAGGTGATGCATTTTGAGTCATGGCACTTGATTAAATGACAGCAGAGAGCTGTGCTTTATCTCTACCTGGTTACACAGGATTTCCCCCACATGCACATCTGGCTTAGAACTCTTTGAGCATCTTTGCTTCCATGTAATCTGCAATCAAATAGGAAAGACTGGATGAGGGGATCCAAGAAGCAGTGCCTGGTTTAGGAACGTTTATTGTTGGAAGTAAATACAAGTAATCCACTTGTTGCTTTTCTTGTACACATTGCTGTGAGGAATCTCTTGGTACTTGTGCAGTGACAGTTTAATAACAATAGAGAGGGAGAGAAAGGAAGGGGTTTTTTTCTGAGGGGAGACTTGATTAGAGACAGAATGTGACAGGCAAAGGACGGGAGGTTGCTGCCTCTGAAATCATCCCTCCCTCACCTTGTTTTGTGTCCTAGAGGTCAATGTGACTTGACAGGATAATTGTATGTGTTTTTCTGAGGCTGTCAGAGCTGGAGGATGACAGTCCTTCCCAGGAGGAGAGCGGGCGCTATCCTAGAACGGTAATTTTAGCCTTCATGTAGACAGTAGTATAAGCTACTAATAAATTGTCTGATTTTATCCTCAGGAAGGTCACAGCAAGTCTCAAAAGCCTGAAAGTACTAGCAGCTACAACTACCGGGTAGTAAAAGAGGTAAAACTTTGCTTCTTGATAGTTCACTGGAAGTGTAAATGAGTAACAGAGCTCTGGAGAGCTGCAGTCAGAGGGAGGCACCCAGGAAAGTCTGAGTCACTCTGCCATTGTGGAAACTATTTGCTGAGTAATAACAAATCCCAGCTTGAATGAGAAGCCAGGATAGAATAAGCACGACGTGTGTATTCTTTCCTTAAGAATGGATTAGTGAGAAACGTTTGCTGCTGTTTCAATGGTAACACAATATTTTTATTGTTAAGGACTACAAAGGCAGTAAGCAAGGGGAGAAGCCATTTAATTTGCCCTGTCCTGAGTACCTTGCACTCAAAGCCACTTTGCTGTTGAAATTTAATGTAGAAAATACCAGATGAGGAACGTGCTGTGGTGCTGGTGTGGTGTGAGCTGAAGGTGTGTCTGTGGCTCTGCTGTGGAGCTTGATGTTGTGTTCACTTGACATGGCTGAGTTCTGCAGGAGCGTAGAATCTCAGAACTGTAGAGTGTCCTGAGGTGGAAGGGACCCACAAGGATCATCCAAGTCCAGCAGCCCTAGTCAGATGCCACGGATGGAGCCTGGGCCACGAGGGGCTGCCTGGAGCCGCTCTGCTCCGTGCAGATGAGTTGGTCCCTGGTGCTGCTCTCTGGGACCTGGCGTTCTCTGGAAGAAAAGCCAGAGCTGGGCTCTAAGGCCAGTGTCTCCTGCAGATCCTGCTGCGGCTCAGCAAGCTCTGCGTGCAGGAGGGGGCCTCGGTGAGGAAGAGCAGGAAGCAGCAGCAGCGACTCCTGAGGAACATGGGAGCTCACGCCGTGGTGCTGGAGCTGCTGCAGATCCCTTACGAGAAGGTGGGGCTTTGTGTCGTGCTGACAGGCTTTTCATACCTCCTCTGAATCTCCCTGAACCTCCTCCCTGTGGATTGGATGCACAGAGGCTGGTTTATGTAGCCTCACAGTCTAGGAAATACCCACTCTCAGAAATAAGGAGCTCAGACAAACTCTGTTTATTTGAAGCCTTTGAATATACAGATTGCCTGAAGAAATATTCACGCATTGTACTTCAGAATTAAGGCTCAGCTCTGAGCTTTACATGTGAGGTAAAGCTGTGTTGATGGAAGCAAGACCCTCGTTGTAAGGCAGCTGGGTGAGCACCATCCTGGGGACAAGGAGGGGTGGGAGGGTCCCCCAGGGGTTTTATGAGCAGTAGATACAGACCCTCCCCCAGCTGTAGAGTCCTAAACTCTCCCTTAGAGGCAAATAAAGACCCACTGGCTCTCCAGGTGAGGTCTGCTGCTCCTAGTTAGCCTTATCAGGGCTAACACTTGGCAGCTGTGCAGGCTGGAGCCCACCAGGGCTGGGTTGTGCCTGTGAGCCTGTGGAGCAGCAGGCTGTGCTGACACAGCACACCCCAAGGTCATCATGTTGGCTGCTCGTTAATCACAGGTGACAGTACTGATTATCAGTACTGAGGTGAGGCACCTCTTCACATTTTCCTGGTCACTCTGCTGTCCTCCCTTTCAAACTCACCAGGTTTCTGAGAACCAGTAATTCTACACAGTAGCTTTGATTAATGTTAATTCTCGTGGTTTCTTGCGTCACATTTTGCTAAAAAATCAGCAGCAAAAGCACCCTTCAGCGCCTTATCATCACCTTTCTGTCCCCTACGTGTGAATGTGCATCAGACAGGCAGTGTGGAAGGGGTTTCACCCTTGGAAAGATATGAAATTCCTTAAAAATAAAAACAGGCAGTAATTTTCCAAAGCGCGGCTCCTGCCATCGCTGGGTTGGGAATCCAGGCTGACGTCAGAGGAAGGGCACCGGTTCCTCAGCAGTGCTTGGAAGGCTGCAAGGAGTGTGGAGGTTCCAGTAAAGATGAATTGGGTTGAGCTGGTGCAAAAGCAGCTTTCCATCCCTGCCTTGCCGTGAGCTTCCCCGTGCGTGGCTGCGGGAAGGCGCTGCAGAGGGACGTGGCAGCTTTCCTGGGCAGCCCCGAGGTGATGATGTGTGGTTTGGCCAAGGGGCTGGCGTGTTCAGAAGAGTAGAAGTGACTCAAGCACGTTGCTGGCAGGCCTGGCTGCGGAATAGGCGCTTTTAGAGAATAAACTACTGTAATTTCTATTATGGGCTTTATTTTTGACGCTCTTTGGAAGCGTGGAGCTGGCCCAGCTCATCCCAAATGTCTGTGAACTGGGTGGAGGTTTGTTTTCCTTCGGGGTGTGAGAGACGTGACCGTTCCCTTGCTGGAGCTGTGGCTCATCCTGTGCTCACCTCAAGGTGAACCTTTGGATTCTTTTTAACCCCCTCTTCTTTGTCATGCAATCCCAGGCTGAAGACACGAGGATGCAGGAGATAATGAAGCTTGCACACGAGTTCCTGCAGAATTTCTGTGCTGGGAACCAACAGAACCAGGCCTTGCTGCACAAGCACATAAACCTGTTCCTTAACCCAGGGGTAAGAATAACCTCAGGCTGTGATTTATTTTTTTGCTCTAGCAAGAGAAGGGACTGCACTGTCCTTGGTGATACCTCTGGGGCTGTTCTGTTGCAAGACTGGTTGAAGAGGTCACATTTTGTTTTCATTCTAAAGCCTCAAAAGTTGGCAAGATGTTTGTTTAGGGTAGTTTCAGTGTAGAAAGTTCAAGAGGCTGAATTGGAGTGAAAAATGGGCTGAGATAGGAGCAGTGGTGTTGAAAGCTGAGGTCCCCAGCAAAGTTCCCTTCAGCCCTGCACCCAGAGGAGTGTGGCTTTACCCTAACCCCAGTGGGGATGTGGTGAGTTGTTGATTTTCTGACTTCTTGCTCCTTTGATCCCCTCCATCAGATCCTGGAAGCAGTGACGATGCAGCACATTTTCATGAACAACTTCCAGCTCTGCAGCGAGATCAACGAGCGCGTGGTTCAGCACTTCGTCCACTGCATCGAGACGCACGGCAGGAACGTTCAGTACATCAAGTTCCTGCAGACCATAGTCAAGGCAGAGGGGAAATTCATTAAGAAATGCCAAGATATGGTAATGGCTGAGGTGAGAGCTGCAGAGATTTGCAGGGTCTGAACAGAAGTTTGCACATAGCAGTTGGTGAACATGACAAATTGATCCTCTCGCTTCGGGGACTGCCAAGAAGCTGACAGCTCTCACCATGCAAAAAGAGCATTACAGCTCCCAGGAAGCTCAGGCTTTTTGTGACCAAAAGCTCTCTGAGCTCCTGACTCACAGGTGTAACAAGGGGTTGGTTATTAATGGCACGAGTTACTTCCCAGGCCTGTACCCAGCAGCATGTAGGTGGGGTTATGAAGCAAGGGTGCCTTTGTCTAGCAAAATTGGCTTGAAGAGAAGTAGTTTAATTTCAAGATCACTAAAGCAGAAGGAGAATTTCACCATGGTAGCATTTTAATGAGAGATTTTTATGAAATCATAGAACCACCAGAGAATCACCTTCCACTATCCCAGGGTGCTCCAAGCTCCATCCAGTCTGGCCTTGGGCACTTCCAGGAATGGGGCAGCCCCAGCTTCTCTGGGCAGCTGTGCCAGGCCCTCACCACTCTTTTTTTTCCTGCCATCTAAATCTGCTCTCAATTTGAAGCCATTCTCCTTTGTCCTGGCTCTCCAAGGCCTTGCAGATAGTCTTAGCAAGATGTGCTTACTCAGCTGTTCAAGTGTGAAGGGGAAGAGGATGAGGATTGGCTTTAGGTGTGTGGGAAACTGGAAACTGGGGAGCCAGGATAAAAGGGAGAGGTCAGAGAAGGGTGAATGAATGCCTTTAAGGGGAATATTGGATGGGATCTGTTTGGCAGATCTGCACATCTGATGGAATGTTTTGGCCTCCTCAGCAGGGGGAGCCCCAGGATCAGATTTGTCAGATCTGCCTTTTGAGCATCAGTCCTGATGGGTGGATCAAAAATCTTCCATATTTTGTTGTTCAGCTCAAAACCAGCTTCATTAGCTTCTCAACACTTAGTTGAGTGTGAGATGCTCAGCAAGGGGCTCCCCCAAGGTCAGCAGCTGCCCAGGGGGTTTTTTCTACATCTTACCCTGCTGTTTTCCCCAAACCCTAGGAGGACAGCCCTGGATCCCTCCAGCTGTGTGCTCAGCAGTGGACCAGGGCTCAGTTTGCTCCATCTCCTTCCCTTCCTGGAGTTCCATCTCTGGAATCATGGCCAGCCAGGTGTCAAACGTGAAGCTGATGGAAATCTCCAGTGTGTCACTTGACGTGTCACTCCCTGGCCCTGGAAAATGGCTGGTGTTTGTTGGAAGGGTGGAAGGAGTGAGCCCTGCAGTCCTCCCATCCCTGGGCAGCTCTCCAGCAGCACAGGGCTGTCCACAGCTGCCTTAGGAAGTCACCTGAGGTGACATGGAAAGGCACAATGGAAAGTCACAAACTTCTTAGCAAAGCTTCTGGCTAGCAGGCAGCTGGGCTGGCTTTGAATTTCCTCGGTGGTTCAGAAGGGGTCAGTTAAATGGGAATGTCCTCCTGGAGCCCTGTGTCCCTGAGGGCAGTGCCCAGCTGCCCTGAGGGGCTGGGGAGCAGCAGTGGGACAGCCCCCACGAGGGGATGCTGTGGGGGGATCCCAGGCTTGGCTCTGCTGATGGAATGTTCTCCTTGGCCCTCAGCTGGTGAATGCAGGGGAAGATGTGCTGGTCTTCTACAACGACAGAGCCTCCTTCCAGACCCTGGTGCAGATGATGAGGTCAGAGAGGGACAGGATGGATGAGAACAGCCCCCTGATGTACCACATCCACCTGGTGGAGCTGCTGGCTGTGTGCACAGAGGGCAAAAACGTCTACACAGAAATCAAATGCAACTCCCTGCTCCCTCTGGATGACATTGTCAGGGTGGTGACCCACGAGGATTGCATACCTGAGGTGAGGGCTTGCAGGAGAGCTGAGCTGTTTGTCTTAGGAATGTGCTGGGTTTGGGTGAGAGGGTTGATACTGCTGGGTCTGGCCTGGCAAGGGGTTGGTGCAGGTGGGCAGCGAGCTGGGAACTGCAGTCCTTCCCTGCTGCTGCTGTTGGCACCCACAGCCAGCCTGGACAGTCAAGTTAAATCCTTTTTTGGTGCAGGTGGGCAGCGAGCTGGGAACTGCAGTCCTTCCCTGCTGCTGCTGTTGGCACACACTGGACAGTCAAGTTAAATCCTTTACTACTTCCTCCTTACCCTGCAAGTGGGAATGTGATGCTGTGCTTGGTTGTTTTATAGGGTTCTTGAGGCAAAGAGGTTTATGGATGTGCTGCTAACCTTGAACAGATGGTTCTGCAGAACTGGAAATTATTATTGTGCTGACGTTTTGTCTGCAGTAATCCTGGTGGTTTTTTATTGGATGGTGTCTTGCTATTCATGGCATTAAATTTCACCAGTGTTTAAGTGAAAGGAAGAAGTAGAATTCCCAATTATCTGTGTAGCACTTTTAATGTGACATTATATTCATTCATGCCACCACTCAGGTTCTTATCCTTTATTAATTATTTTCTCTACTTTTAGGTCAAAATAGCATACATCAACTTCTTGAATCACTGCTATGTGGATACAGAAGTAGAAATGAAAGAGATTTACACCAGTAATCACATGTGGAAGCTGTTTGAGAACTTCCTGGTGGACATCTGTCGGGTAATGTATCTGCACCAAGGAACTGAATTCAGCTTAAAAACCTCTTAATTCCAGAGCAGCAAGGATAAGACATCCCAGTGCATCAAGGCAATAAGTACCTTGAATACTCTGTTCCTGCAAATAAGTGTCTCCTTTTCCTTGTGCCTGTGGATTTCATTAGTCATATTCCATGGAACGCATTCATATTTTCCTTTTTAAAAGAAAAAATCCAAGCCCAAACCAAAGCTCAGTGAAGCTCCACACCCTGCTCCTTTGTCCAGTGCCTTTTCTGTCCTGCCACCTGGCCTGCTTATTCTGGCCAGCATCACTGAGCTCCTTCCTGAGCAGCACTCAGCGTTTTTTGGCAGGTCAGGACAGATTGTTTTCCAGGCTTGGTGTTTATTTGGCCATATGGCTTTTTGCCTGGGATTCCAAGTATTTCCCCATACGAAAGCATTACACCTCAGTCCTCCCCATCCTGCTCTTGCCTTCCTCCAAGACACTGTGGTTTTTCCCTCCCCCAGCCGTGCTCTGGGCCAGCACACCAAACCAGGAACAGCGCTGGCTCTGCTCTGGGCTGGAGGTGCAGAGCCCCAGTGTCACTGAACTGGGACCAGGACAGTGTGACATGAGGAACTGCAGTCTCAGCTGCCTTGGTGAGCTGCCCCTGACCCTGCTGTGGTTTGTGCTGCAGGCCTGCAACAACACCAGTGACAGGAAGCACGCAGACTCCATCCTGGAGAAGTACGTGACCGAGATCGTCATGAGCATCGTCACCACCTTCTTCAGCTCCCCCTTCTCCGACCAGAGCACCACCCTGCAGGTGGGGACATGCACAGACAGGGAGAGCACTCCTGTGTACATTCCCTTGGTGCCACTGACAGTGCAAAGGAAACACAGGGGAGCAGTGGTGGTGTAACTGGGGAGGAAATACAACGCAGTTCTTGGTGACCAGACTGCTCTTTTTGCTGTAGAAATGGAAAAAACGTGTAGGTCACAGTCCAAATGTTCTTCTAGAGAAGCTCAAGTGTCACACGAATTCATCAGTGCATTCAACTCTGTGCTACCACTGAGGTCTTTTGTAGAGAGTTCTTGTGTGTCATTGAATCCCAGGATGGTTTGTGCTGGAAGGGACCTCAAAGCCCATCTCATCCAACCCCTTCCACAGATATCACAGAGGGAGCGAGGGTGATTGGTTAAGGACAGCATATTTTACAGAAAGATTCTAATTGCCCTTAAAAAAGAGGATTCAGAACAAAAATCCAGAAGCTCTCATGTGTCTCACCAAGTAGACTTTGGCCTAGTTCAGAAGTTGGAGAAATGTGGAAGAGGAGCTTGAAACACTTGTGAAGAGGAGAGGGCAGAGAGTTGTACAGCAGAGCAGCAGAGTCAGGATGTAGCCCTAATATTTATATTTGCACAGAGATAACACTGTTCTTTATGCATAAATAACTTTCTGGCAGGGTGTGGGTGGAGTGGTCAGGTGTCTGGCAGCTCTGGCAGGAGGCTGAGAGGGGCAGTTGTTGAGACTTGATGCAACCTGGTAGTGCCAGAGGCAAGTGTTTGCAGTGCAATCTCCAGGTCTCAAAGCTCATGCAGTCCTACCCCTGCCTGTCTCTGACCTCACCTGAGTGAGCAGTGCAGCAGCTGATTTGCTCCTCAGGTGACTTAGGTTGCTGTTGCACCTTCTGTGCTCCTCAAAGAGTGAGACATGGAGACTGTGGCCTTGTCCTGGGCTCTGCCCTTCCTCTGTGCCATGTACCTGAGCTGCCCTGCTCTCACTTGTCATCTCTGAGATGCAGCATTTGAATACACATCTTGCCATCCTATTTTAGCCATCTGTTAATGTTATATCAGCAGTTTTTCTTTAGTTTCTCAATCTCCCCCTCTGTCTAGCAAGATGAAATCACTTGGTTCACCTCTTTTCCCATCTTAGTTGATAGATCTGCCTTGTCCTAGATTCATCTTTCCTCCACATCTCCAAGTTAAAAGTGGTTTCTCTCCCTTTTCCTGCCTGTCAATACTCTTGTCTATACCCAGGGATTCTCCTCCCTGAGGAGCACAGCCTGTTGTCCCACCTGCCTGGTGTCCATCCCTGCTCCAGGTGGGATTTCCTCCCCTCTGAGGTGCTGCAGGTGGGCTGATCTCTGTAGGCAGGGGATGTGGCCACTCTGCCCTGGGTTCAGTCCCTCCCTGCCCTTCCTGCTGCACCTTCTCATCCCAGCCAGCCTCCTCTTGCCTCCTGCTCCTTCATGTCAGGGCTTGTGTGTCTGAAATTCCTCCTGCCCTGAGTCAGCCTTGCTAGTTCAGGGAACACCTTGTCCATCCATCATGTGGTTCAAATCACATAAAATTAGAAGAACACAAATCTCTTGGCAAAGGACAGCTGCCCACAGCTTCTCTTTAACAAACATTGTTCAGCCTGTTTGCCTCCAAAGTTGTTGCTGCCCAAGGTTTCCCTTCCCAAGTGCAGTAAGCAGACATGAGGGACATGGAGTAAATTTCCTGTTTGATTTATTGACCTTGTTTAAGCAAATGAAACACCTTAAAGGGTTTTTAAGACCAAAAAAGTCTTTAGACATGAACTGAATGTGGGTGGTTTAGATCCAAACATGCAGCTATTTTCAGGGCCCTGGGTGAATGCTGTTGTTTGCCATGGTTTTTGGTGTTTGGCTTATTTCCAGAAAGGATAATGGGTATTTGCCTCTTAGCAATTTTGGGGGCTTGAATTTTGGTTCTCCTCTTTGTATATTTTGTAATGGTGTTTTATTTGATTGATCTAGTAGCTTTAATTAGCTGATAGACTTGGCTTTTTACTCTAACTCCTCTTTTTTCTTGCAAACAGGCTTTACTGTTGGCCAGAATTAATGAGGTATTTTTTCCCTGGTTCCTAAGTCCTGTGGTGTTTGCACTGTGGTGTAGTTCCTGTAGCTGATAGAAACATTCCATAGCTAGTGGGCACAGGGACACAGGGTGCTCCCTCTCAGATTGAAATATTTCAAATGCTCTTTCCTCTACAGGTTATAATATGTTCTTCTACTAAGTAATCACTGTACAAAACCAAATGGAGTTTTGGTCACTGTTGTTGGGCAGCTGCAAAGGTGAAAGAACAGAGCTCATGGGCTTGGGTGTGTTGGAGCAGCTCACCTTTCTGTAGTGGAAGATCACCTTGTGAAATTCAGGGGTGAAAACCACACCTTGATTTTGGCTGATCCAAAGCAGCTGCAGTGTTTGCCACTAACCACTGCCTGTGTTCCAAATAACACACAGCTGCTTTCTTAGTGAATTGGATACCAGCTAATAATGCTTGGAATGGTGAGTTTCCAACTCTGGAGCTCTGCTGTCACATAGCCAAGCCCCATTTACCTGTGGCCTCTTGAGTCAGCTGCTGGTCAACACTAAAAGAGGAATCTGTGTGCTAGGGTTGCTGATAGCTCTGATAAAACAGATGAAGGTGACTGCTCACTTCCTTTGCTTAGTCAGCCTCAATTAGCAGGCCTTTCTGCTGCAGAAGCTCCTGTTTCATTCTCCCTTCCAGCACTGGTTCCCACCCTTCCCATCCAGCTGCTGATCCCGTGGTAGATACCCTGCCACCACGGGGAGTTGCCCAGCAAGTGCTGCAGACCAGCTGGAAGGGACTGGCGAGTGCCAGCAGGACTGGGAGCAGCTGAGCCCTGCTCAGGGCTGTGGCTGTGACTGTGCTGTGCTTGCCTTGCAGACTCGGCAGCCCGTGTTCGTGCAGCTGCTGCAGGGGGTGTTCAGGGTGTACCACTGCACCTGGCTCATGCCCAGCCAGAAGGCCTCTGTGGAGAGCTGCATCCGCGTGCTCTCCGACGTAGGTAAGGAGTGGGGGTGAGCAGAGCTGCCTGCTCCAGTGGAGCCATCCAGGCTGGCTGCTGGTGTGTCATCCTGCCACGGGGACAGTGTGGTTTGTGTCCTGCAGGTGGGATAACTCACAGATCATTGTGGTTGAGCAGTGGGTGTTGTCACTGTCACCTGAAGTGCTTTTTCTGTCTAACCTCAGAACTCCCTGCAATCCTGTTGGTCTGCAGCAGGGAGATGGTTTTCGTGGAATTGCTGAGGTTGGGAAAGCCCTCCAGGATCATCAAGTCCCAGCTGTGCCCAGTGCCCACCTTGTCCCCAGCTCAGAGCTCTTGAGTGACACATCGTGCCCTTCCTTGGACACCTCCAGGAATGGGCACTCCAGACCTCCCTGGGCAGTGCCAAAGCCTCAGCACCCTTTCCAGGGAGGAGTTCCTCCAGCTGTCCAGCCTGACCCTTCCCTAGTGCAGCTGGGAGTGCCACTCCTGCCCATAAATTTGCTCCACTTTCAGTGTCCACAAGGAGTAGCTTGTACTGGATATGGGGTCAGGTTCTGCTGCTGTGTGTCCACGTGTGCCAGCACGAGCTCTTGGAGGTGTGTGTTTAGGGAAGGATTCCTACTCCCACACCTCAAACAACAGTAACAACTCTGAGGTGTGGAAGCCTCTAAACATAATCCTGCCCAGGCCTGACCCTGCCCTGTTTAAAATGCACTCAAAGAGTCATGGAATGGTTAAGATTGGAAAAGGTCTCTTAAGGTGGTCAAGTCCAGCTGCCAGCCTAGCACCACCACTGTGCTCACCAGTAAAACATGAACTCGAGTGCCACAAACAAATGTTTTTTGACCACCTCTCTAGGCAGCCCTTTCTAATGCTTTATAACCCTTTCTGTGAAAAAAAAAAAAAAAAATCCTAATGTCCTAATTTCCCAGTGTCTAATCTAAACCTTCCCTGGTGCAACTTGAGGCTGTTTCCTCTCAGCCTGGGAAGGAGAGTTTGTAGAGGGAAGGGACTGCATAGACCTTTGTCCTGTTTTTGTGTTGGTTCACGGGCTCAGGGTCTCAGTTCCCACTGATTCCGCTTGTTGCAGCCAAAAGCAGAGCGATTGCCATTCCCGTGGACTTGGACAGTCAGGTGAACAACTTGTTCCTGAAGTCCCACAACATCGTGCAGAAGACGGCCATGAACTGGCGCATGACGGCGCGGAACGCCGCGCGCAGGGACTCGGTGCTCGCCGCCTCCAGGGACTACAGGAACATCATCGAGAGGTTACAGGTGACTGCACAGCCCCCCTTCCCCTGCAGAACTGAAAGTCACACCTGACCAAACCCTCGGGTCTTTTAGTTTATTCAGGCAGGACAGACCTAATTGTCCTGCCCCTCATCCACCGTTAGTAACGTGAATTCTGCTCTGGATCTGTGGTGTTAATGTTTGTCTGAACCCGGTGTGGCTGTTTCTTTCCTAGGACATCGTGTCAGCCTTGGAGGATCGCCTGCGCCCTCTGGTCCAGGCAGAGCTGTCAGTGCTGGTGGATGTGCTCCACAGGCCTGAGCTGCTCTTCCCAGAGAACACGGATGCCAGGAGGAAATGTGAAAGTGGAGGTTTCATTTGCAAGTAAGTTGTCTTAGAAGTCTGGCTTGTTTTGCTTTTTCCCAAATTTCCCATGCCCTGTGGAATGGAGCCCTCTTGCCCAGCTTGGTAAATACTTGATATCCTCTGAAATACCTGTAAAAATCAGTATTTTGTGATATGGTCAAGGCAATTTGTCCTTGGTGGGGAAGAAAAACTGCTTGTGTGAATGGGCAAAGACTGGTTGATATGTTCTCCCATCTAATGCTTAAAAATGTCTGTTTGCTGCAGGATGCAAATGTCCTGAGCAGTTGTATAAATGAGTTTCATTTTGAGCTGATCCAGTTATTGATAAGTGCTTTCCACCCAGCACCTCAGGAACATTCCTGGGGTAATACATCAGGATCAGTTGTTGTCATGGGCATCACCACAGCTAGAGGGAAGGAAAGGGGAAGATTACAAGGTCATTTAGAGGGCAGTTCAGAGCAGATGCTGTCACCTCCTGGAGGGGTGGGCTCTGTACAGAGGTTGTGGAAGCTGAGCACTGAGTCAGTCCCAAGTGCTGGGTGGGATGGATTTGGGGTTGCACCCTCCAGGGCTCTGTCTGTTTTTTGAGCAAGTGGAATAGATTTCTTACTGTTAACTGGTTGTTCTGGAGGACCATCAGGTCCTGATCCCACTGGTTCCTTGCTGCCTGCAGCCATAGGGGTTTTTTGGCTGTTTTCCTGCCCACAGCTTCCCCTGGTAGCTGTCAGGTGTTGCTCTGGAGAGAAGGCTTCGAAGTGCTTATGTAACAAGCATGATGATAAACCTTGTTTGCAGCACAAACCAGTGAAGATAAGCACATATATCTTACCCCATTTTTAGAATGTTTGCACTAACCTGGTTGATGGCTTTTTTTCAGGTTAATTAAGCACACAAAGCAGCTGCTGGAGGAGAATGAGGAGAAACTGTGTATTAAGGTATTACAGACGCTCAGGGAAATGATGACCAAAGATAGAGGCTATGGAGAAAAGGTAAGGTACAGTCCATCATTCTGTTAAACACTGGCTTTATTCAGTAAAGGAAAATAAAGCTCCTGCTTCTTCAAGCTGTTTTCTATGTGTAAGCTCTTTGAGGCTGGAGCAGGGACAAAACATTTTTAATCAACTAATACCTTTCAAATCATATTTGAAGTTAAGCTTGTTTCTGTTGCTTTTCTTCTTGAGACTGGCAGGTTTAAGTCTAATCCCTGCAGTTGCTGGCACTCTAAAATACCCATTTTGTTACCTTTTTCTGAAGGCTGTAATATCTTTATCTGCTTCCCAGGTCTAGGTGACTCTTCAGGTCATGTAACCTTGCAACAGGAGGGTGTTTTGCAGTTAATTTGAATTTGTGTACAACTGAGCAATCTTGTTGTGGTTTTTAGATGGAAACTCTCTGTACACCCACCCATGTTTCTTCTTTCCCTTTCCTACATAGAACTCTTGATTGGTTGAGAGGAACATTTTTCTGTAGGTACAAACCTATTCTTTATTTCCATCAGGAGGCTGTGTATGCACCCATATGTTTGTGTTTCTAGAAGTGGTTACAGTCAGCTGAGACTGGGATTTGGAGATTCTCCTGGAATTCTGCTCAGATGAGGTTCTTCCCATGGCACCAGTGGGTGCAGAGGAGCACAGGCTGCATTGGGGAGCAGCTGGGAGTGGGGACTGGGGGAGCTGTGGTGTGGCAGGGCTGTCACTGCCCCGGGGAGGCTGTGCCCAGGAGCAGGTGGTGCCTCAGTCCAGTTCTCCCCCGCAAATGGGTTTGGAGCTGCTGCTCATGCTCAATTCACAGCAGAAAGGGCAAAAACTTTAGAGGTCAGAGTTTGAGAACAGCAGGAATCGTTTGTAGCAGCTGCCAGGGAGGGAGATGCTCCACAGGCAGAGGAGCCTGCAGCATCCTGGCCAGCTGGGAATGTCACCAGGAGGCAGCAGCAGGACGTGGTGCCAGGGCTCTGGGGAGGGAGCAGTGGCAGCCTGACACACATGGGTGTGCACGTGTGGGCTGCTCCCAGCACACCCAGGCTGCACAGGCAGTGCCAGGGACAGGAGGCTCCCAGGAAAATGCCCTCAGGGCAGGGATGGCCAGGGCTGTGCTCCCTGCCCTGCCAGGAAGGCTCTTCCCAGTGCTGCCAGCCCAGCCCAGCTCCAGCTGCTGCTCTGCTCCTGCCTGGAGACTGTCTCCCTGTGCAGCAGCAGTGGTTTGAGTGAATTCTTGGGCTTGAGGGAATTCCCTGGCCAGCTGCAGGAAGGCAGCACATCCCTGTGGGATGGGGAGGGAGCAGGGAAGGGCACAGCTGCAGGTGTCAGCTTGGGGCACATTGTCCTCTGCCCAAGTAGCTGAATCCTGTGCTGGGCATCACCTTCTGTCCTCTCCTCAAGGTCCCTTCTCTGAGACATCCCAGCTGGAAGGGGCTGGCTGTGGCCAGGCTGCTCCTGGGAAAGGAGTGGGACTGGTGATCCTCTAATGGGTGCTGGTATTTCCTGGTGTTCAGTCTGGGGCTGTAACAGAGTCAGTGTAACCATAGATCTTGCACTTCTCCAGAAGATCAGTGTGTCCTCTCCTCTTAAAACAGCCAGGAGCCACTGCCTCCCAAGGTCACCTTAAGTAATAAAAGCAGTGTGTGATGCATATTGTGTATACTAGACACCAGTGAAACCCAAATCAGAGCTTTAAGAGTTTTCCTTAAATGTAATTTGCCACTGAGAGATTTTCCAAAATGGAAATTAATTCCTATGAGTTTCTTAGGCTTCATTCAGCTAACTTGGATGAAGCAGTATTTCTAGAAGCTGCAGTTAACATACCTTGCACCATTCAGACCATGGAGAACCCCACAAGGTGCTAAAAAATCTTCAAAGTGTGGCAGAAGCATTGATTTCTGAAGCAGTGGCTCAGTTACATAAGGAGTCAGGATATGCCTGCCTGTGAAGTGATTTCCGAGTCGGAAGCAGCAGCTGATTGCTCACAGATAGACTGTCAGTAGTAGTAGAACAGCTTTTACTGTCTGGCTGTGAGCACTGCAGTGGGATTTATTCTCCCTTGTGACTCAGAGAACTGAATTTAGTCACCACCTAAAAGGTAGCACCTTTTGTTTTTAAAATCATCCTGTAATGTAACAAAAAAAAAAAAAAAAAAAGAGAAGGAAAATCCCCTCTTGTATTGTAAAAAGCCCGAAAAAATCTTGCAAAAAAAAAAAAAAAAAAAAAAAAAAAGAGAAGAGAAGGAAAAACCCCTCTTGTATTGTAAAAAGCCTGCTGTAAATCCTGGAGTCCCTGCCTAGAGGTGGTTCCATCCATCCAGGTGCAGAGCTCACCCTTGTAGCAGCTCACTGACCTCACGAGCACAGAGCCATGGGAAGGCTTGGCTTGGAAGGGACCTTAAAGACAACCCAGTTCCCTCCCTGGAGCACCTTCCGTAGCCCAGCCTGGCCTTGAGCCCTTCCAGGGATGGGGCAGCCTGTGCCAGGGCCTCCCCACCTTGACAGGGAAGGATTCCTTCCTAAGGACCCCTTTAAACCTCTGGCAGTGCCTGTCCTGTCCCTGTGCCCGGGCTCTCAGCTGTCCCTCCCCACCCGTGTCCAGCCCCAGAGCTCTGGGGAGGTTCTGGCAGTGCCTGTGGTCCTGCTGCAGCCCCACGTGGTGCTCTCTGGAGCAACCTGACTTACATAAGGATGTAGGGATGCACAGGGCTCCTGCTCTGCCGTGACTCTCCCGGCCCACAGGTCTCCTCACCATGCTGGCCCGTGTCCCTGAGCAGGGTGGGCAGTGCAGGAGGACACTGCTCCTGTCACCCAGAGCCCTGCTCCCACAGCTGGGGCTCCTCAGCAGCGAGCAGAACCCGTGGGCAGAGCACAGATGTACAGAAGCCTGTGGGAAGGCTCAAATTTTTCCATATTGCTGAAGACTCCTCGCTTGGCACGCGCTCAGGATGGCTCAGTGACGGGGAGCATACTGTGGAGTATTTAATAGGCACAAAACTGCACTACATTGACAGTGTAGGCTAGACCCAAGTTTTTCACTGTGCTGAAACATGTCATTCATGCACGTCTCTCCGGGTGCCTACCAGCTGACTCTCCTCAGCTCGGCAGGACTCGCTTTGGGAAGCTCCATTTTCCCCCCCAGAGTGGAAACGCAGCCCCTGAGCTGCTGCTGCTGCTGCTCAGGGCTCGTGACACTCCCGTGCCCAAGGGTGAAGTCCTTGGCTCTGGGTCAGCCTGCCCACGTGGTTTGTCCCTGGCACAGGAACAAAGCCAGGGTACATCCTGCCTCCCAAGCTGCTGGCACAGCGTTCCCAGCAGGGTCTGTTCCCTAACCCGGCGCTGGCAGATGTTCCTCATGCCCACTGCAAAAACAATGTTGGATTGCAGCATTAAAGTGTTAAATGATTTATAAGATCCTTATATGAAATTTATGTTTCGTTTCTCTTACTAATCCTTGCTTTCAATTCTTCCCCTTCTTTCTTTCCCGGCAGATTACCATTGAATTGGATAATGCTGAGGTTTTAATTTTATTTCTTTTCTCCGGTGTTGTTTCTATGGTGTTTGTTTTACCAGTAGCCCTGTGATCTGTCCTGTCTCTGCAGCACTGAGCGTTCTGATTTGTGTGCCTGTGTCAGTGAATTAGTGGAGTTTTCAGTCTGCTGTGTGTCTATCCTGGGAATAGTTACCATAACTAATTCCATATGTCATTTCTCGGAATATTAATCCAGATGGAGTTATCATTTTTGGTAGTCTGCAGTCAGCTGGTGCCGTGGTAGATCCTGTGAAGTTTAGGATCAGATCTGGAGGATAAACTGCTCTAAGCAATCAGCATTTAGCACTTGGCCACCGTTCCTGTGTCAGTGTGAAGGGGTTATTTTGTATTTGGAAAGCTAAATAGTGAGCTTTAACGGTGCCCATGCAGGAGCTGGAGGAAGGTGGGTGCAGGTGGGACTGGGGAGGGGAGGTCCTTGTGCAGAAACTGTGCTGCTGCTTTTCCCAGGAAGGGAAGGTGACAGTCCTGCAGCTCGTGGGAGCATCGCAGTGCCCTTGCCGTGCCCCGCTGGGGTTTGGCTGCGAGGCCACGCATGGCTGCTGTGTAACCCTGAGGAATAGGTGGCTTGGGAAGCTGTTTCTGGGTGGAAAGCCCTCTTTGAGGGAAAACTTGGAGTTGAAGTGACATGGAGCTTTCCAAGGACTCTGACAAGCCTGCTGTCTGGTCGGGGCAGCAGCGCAGGGCGGAGGGAGCTGGGCTGCCTCTGCTGTGCAACTTCCTCATCAGCTCAAAAAAACCCTGGTGTGGGTGTGGAATTTGCATAAATGTATAATACTGAGAAAGTGATTGACTGGCACCTTATTTTACTGAAATACCACGGAAAAAAGAAATATTTTCCTCTCAGTGCTTTGTTTCCTGTGTTCTCTCCCAAGCCAGCCTTTTATTTGGAACAAAGCTCAACCACTTAAAATGTCTAAAGCATTTCTGACCTTTATTTAGTGGAGTAGGTAATGAAATCTACAGAAAGCAATTTACGGTGTGACTTGTTAATTTTGATGTTAACCACCTGAATCCACTGGGTAAACTTCATTCTGAAAATGCAATATTTGGAGACCTTGCCTGGTGAAATGGCTTTGAAAGCCAAACTATTTGTCACTAAAGTGGACAAATGCTGGGCACATCACCCAGAGCTGGCCTGGAGGGTGTTTTCTGTTCAGGAGGGCTTTTAGGGCTGGAGCTGAAGGTCCCTTCCCTACAAAACTGGTTTCCCATCACTGCTTTCTGCCCAGACTCTGATTTTCAACTGAAAGACAAATTTCTTGCTGTACAAGTTCATTTACTGCCCTGCTGTCACCTCTGAGCTGTGCTGGGATGAGATCTCAGGTGTATCCCCAAGCTGCACACACACTTCTGGCATTACAGAGGTGCTCTGCTGTCTGTTTCTCTTTTTTTTTCTTTCTTTCTTTTGTTAATAAACCCAGTTTTTCCCCTTTTAACCTGGGGCATACACACCAGTAGTC